TTTTTTGTTTGTTTTTTTTTGTAGAGACAAAATTTCCCTATGTTGCCCAGGCTGGTCTTGAACTCCTGGGCTCAAGCAGTCCTTTCACCTTGGCCTTTTAAAGTGCTAGGGTTACAGGTGTGAACCATCACACCTGACCCTGTACGGGTTTCTTAAACTCGAGGTCAGTTTTAGCTTCATGGGTTATGTAGGAATAGTGATGAAAGGAAAGATCAGACAGAACTCATTCCTTTCAAGTCATACCTAAGGGGCATTTTTAGAAGCCATTTATTATCAAGGTAAAGTGAGATCAGTGGCACATTGCTTTGCCTTTGAGGAAAGTTTTAACTATCCGGGACAGGTATCAACTACTTTGTAATATTTTATATGACATTTAAGGCAAAATAAATAAATATATTTTAAATGTTGCTTTAAGGACCTTTGCTAGAGAGGAGTAATGTATAATGATAATACTGTAAGATAAATTGTTAATAATAAACCCTTTATTTAATTACAGAAAAAATGATAAGGGTCTTATAGATGGAGAGTTCAGGCAAGGACATGCCAGCAGAGGGTTTATAAGAAAATGAGAATGTAAAATTTATATGTACTGTAGCAGAATCATACCAAGAGTATCATAGCTAGAGACAAGGAAATGAGGCAAGGGAGAGATAAGATGGAAATTTAAATTGAGACTAATATTATCAAGGACTTTAGATTTTTTTAATCCTGTTTACATTAGAAAGCCTCTAGAAAATTTAAAGCACAGGAGCTAGCAGTTTGACTGAATTTGTGTTGTAGAAAGTTTCCTGTTGGCAGTGTAAAGAAGGATAGAAGGATAGAGCCAGGTATGTTTGACAATTTTTCTATGTTATTCTCTAGTATTTTACTTCTTATTTCTCAAGATGGTGGAATTCTGTCTTGTGGATTTGGGAGTGATTTTCCAATTAACTGAAATACAATCCTTCAAGTGCCTTAAATTTCATTTCTTTTTTTTTTTTTTGAGTTGAATTCTTACTCTGTCACCCAGGCTGGAATGCGGCTTAAACCTGCTAGACTTAGGTGACCCTTCTGCCTTTAGCCTTCCAAGTAGCTGGAACTACAGGTGCAGCACACCTGGCTAATTTTTTTGATTTATTGTAGAGATGAGGTCTCGCCAAGTTCCCCAGACTGCTCTTGAACTCCTGGGCTCAGACAGTCCTCTCGCCTCCGTCTCCCAAAGTGCTGGGGTTGTAGGCGTGAGCCACTGCATCTGGCCTCAATTTCATTTGGTAATAGACAACTTTCTAAACTATTATTCATATTTTAGACTCAATAAATAGAGTCTAGTAAATAGTCTCCGTAAATATTATGGCGCTGATTTTCTGCCTTTCCTCTTCCCATTAATGATACTGTCTAGAGAAAATGATCCTGATTTGTCTACTTAATGTTTGTGGAGACATGTCTTTCTTCATCCATTCCTAATATATCATAGGGATCTGTTACATTCAGTTTTCCCATCACATTTTCTGGTGAGGTCTCATCATGTTGCTCAGACTGGTCTTGGACTCCTATGGTTGTAAACTAAAGCAAAACTAAAGATTACGAGGAAAAATATAGTTAACTAATCCTTGCTATATGTGTAAAATTAAGGCAAACATGGAGACGGCAGCTCTTTAGCAAAATCTATAAACTTTGGGAAACTCTTTTCAATGTTTTGCTGATTGGTGTCTGATTAGTTAAGTAGACTTTTAGTTTAAATAGTGATGACATTTAATCAGTAAATACTTTTTTTTTTTTTTAAGTTGGAGTCTCACTCTGTTGCTCAGACTGGAGTGCAGTGGCCGCTCCTGACCACCGCAGTCTCAATCTGCTGGGCTCGGGCGATCTTTCCGCCTCACCCTTCCAAGTAGCTGGAACTACAGGTGTGCGCTACCACACCCAGCTAATTTTTTGATTTATTGTAGAGATGAGGTCTCACCAAGTTGCCCAGGGTCTCGAACCCGCGGGCTTAGGCAGTCCACTCACCTCAGCCTACCAAGGTGCGGGATTACAGGCTGAGCCACTGAGCCCGGCTATTAAGCACATTTTAAATCTGATACATTTATAATTTATACTCACTTAAAACATTATTAAGTGCCTGTCATAAAGCAATGTGTAGAACACAATTGAAAAAGTCATGGATTCTGCCTTGGGGTAGGGGAGACATATAAATAAGTGAAAAGCATTTGTAGGATTTTTGTTGCATTTTTCCTCTTCCTAGAGTAAGGATATTTAATTTGAGAAAAGAAAATGGATTAATAAGTATTATTTGCTGTTATTGTCTATTCCATTAAAGAAGGAATACTCTTTAACAGAAGGATAAGATGCTTTGTGCAGTTCATGTGTTCATGGAGTATTTATTTGAACTTTTGATCAGATTAATTAAAATATATACAGTTATGTACCACACAGTGATATCTTGGTCAGTGATTGACTGCATATATGATGGTGGTCCTATAAGATTACAGTGGTTCTGAAAAATTTCTATCACCTAATACAACCTAAGTGTATACAGTGTTTATAAAGTCTACAGTAATGTCCTAGGTGTTCACATTCACTCACCACTCACTGACTTACCCAGAGCGGCTTCCAGTCCCGTAGGCGCCTTTCATGAAAAGTGTCTTATATAGGTGGTACCATTTTAATTAATTGTTGTTATTATTTTTGAGTTAGAGTCTCACTCTGTTGCCCAAGCTGAAGTGCAGTGGCATGATTACAGCTGTGGCAGCCTCGACTTGCTGGGCTCAGGCAATCCTTCCAAATAACTGGGACAATAGACACGTACCACCATGCCCAGCTAATTTTTCTTATTTATTGTAGAGATGAGGTCTCATCATGTTGCTCAGACTGGTCTTGGACTCCTGGGCTCAGGCAATTTGCTCACCTCCTTAAAATGTGCTGGGATTACAGGTGTGAGCCAGTGTGCCCAGCTAAAAAAAATACTTTATACTGTATTTTTACTATATCTTTTCTATATTTAGAGACATAAATAGTTATCATTGTGTTACATTTGTCTGTAGTATCCATTAGGGTATCATGCTGTAAAGGTTTGTGGCCTGGGAACAATAAGGCTATACCGTATATCCTAGGTGTGTGGTAGGCTATACGATGTAGGTTTGTGTATTTACACTTTCTGATAGCTGCTTGACAGAATCACCTAATGATACATTTCTCAGAACATATCCCTGTCATAAAAGGAATGCGTGATTGTGTATTTTGCTGTTTACAGCAGTATTTAGATGTTTTCATTAAATCAGTGTAAAGACATTTCTGATAATATACAGTATATGTGTTTCTGGAAAATCTCACATGTTGCAAAATAATGTCTGGGCTAAATATGGATATTATAAAACACCCAAATTATGCAGCTTTGTAGCAGAATACTAACATAAACAATGATCTAAAAATACAAGTACAGATGAACTCCGGCATTTGTGTTAAATGCCATACCCCATCACTTATGAGCCTTAAGCTGAGGCTTATGTTTCCTATTTTGAGGTACAGCTTCTTGAAGTTTATTGCTTTAGTAGAAACTAATTTTGTAAAAATTAATGAGTCAGTGTATAGCCACCTTTATTGTTCTTTGGTGGGAGGGAGAGTGTAAAAACAAGAAATTATCTTTACAGCTTCTTCACGTGCACCCTTAGTTGTCACCAGATAACATGATGTTGGAAAGCCTTGAGGTTCTTAAAGCCACTAAACTTTGATGTTTTCTCTCTAAAAGAAGATACTTCTTTTCATCATTTTTTCCTTAAGTTCTTCTTATATTGACTTTCTTTTTAATGTGAGAAACTTGTCTTTGATCCCTTTATAACATACTGTGAAAAATCCCTGTGAACTTATGAAATTTCCGTGCTATACCAACATCTCTCTCCTCTTTACCAGTCACCTGTGAACTAATTTAAAATACTATCTTGTAACTGTACAGTTTTTACTTTAATCATATAGATAATTATTCTATTCCATTTTAATATATTTTTGTATTTAACAACATATACTTTAATTTTTAAATTCTTACAGTTGGGGATGCCATATATTTAAGCTGTTCAAAGCATCTTATATTTACAGTCCTGTCTCTAACATTGTGGGCCATAATACATATATACTCATAGGCAGTATAACATTTGCCTTGTTAATTTTCTACTTAAAAGTTAGTGATTGTATTTAGTTTTAAAAATACATTTGTTGTATTTCAGCCGTGATCACTGTTCAACCATGATCAAAATTATTTATGTATATTATTCTGATATTTTAAAGGCGTGAACATTTTGTAATGTAGAAGAAAATGACTTACCTGTTTTTTTAAGACTGCATATGAGATCTGATACTGAATTTTCATAAGAATACTTACAAGCTAATGTAAACATTCTTAAATTTCCAGTTAACTTTTTTCTTTTAGAGTACTGAAAAGTATACTTTGTTAGCTTTTTATCCTTGCTGTTAAGTAAAATCTGGTTTATTTACTCATATTTCCAAAGGGTATCTCTGGAAGAATATTCAAAAAAGTGGCAGGGAAGGGAATTGGATGTCTTGGGGCTTTGCATTTTGAATTCCCTTTTATTTTGAGCCATGAACTATAGAAAGAAAGTAAATTTAAAAATGTAAAAAAAAAAAAAAAGAAAGAAAGAAAAAGAAAATGAAAGTGCTTTGGTATACAGAACAGAGGCTATTTAACCTACCAAGTAGGACCTCCATGATCAGCTTAACATTGTCAGTCCTGAAATATCTTGAGTGACCTCTATTATCAGCTTAGCATCATCAGTCCTGGAATATCTTGGGACTCACCATACAGTGATTGTATATAATGGCAGGTGCAAACAAACAGAAAGGTAACAAATAAAAACATGATGTACTTACTTTATTAGAAGAAATTAGTCAACAGTATATATAACTTTTAATCAAATTAGAAATTAAACTGTTGGATAACCTCTGGGTTTTTAAAAAATAACCATCATAAAATCATTTAAAAAATCTTGCTGCTTTTTTTTGCTTGCCTTTAGTTGATGCAGATGAAATTAAAAGGCTAGGAAAGAGATTTAAGAAGCTTGATTTGGACAATTCTGGTTCTTTGAGTGTGGAAGAGTTCATGTCTCTGCCTGAGTTACAACAGAATCCTTTAGTACAGCGAGTAATAGATATATTCGACACAGATGGGAATGGAGAAGTAGATTTTAAAGGTAAGAAAGTAGTTTTGTTTTTTTAATCACAAGTTAGATAACTATGTGTAGTCTTACATCTCTTTGTACAAAAATGTCTGAAATTTTTAGTTTTTCTCAAATGTCATTATATTTCTGGTTATCTTATAATAGGTTGTGCTACAACCTCAAAATTTGTGGCATATGCACCTTAGTGAGCTGGGGTCTCTTTTTGGTTCATAAATGATCAAGTTGTCCTTTAGGGTAATCTACAAAAATTATTACCTTTGTTTTTAGAAAACTAATTTTACTTTAGGGCAATATATACACTGTTAGAAGCTACTGCAAGTTTTCAACCTTTTTAAAAGAATGAGACCTATACTAAGGCAGCAGTATAAAATAAGCTGTGTAAAGGCTGTATTATCATAGAACAGGATTCATTTATTTTAATCTAGATTTTACACAGGCACTCAGTAGTGCTTTTGTTAATATTAACATGATATATTAGTTTATATTTGATTGTTTTTATAAGTAAAGAAGTATTTCACTAGGGAATTGTCAACAGATTTTGTTATTTTTGTTGAGGGAACTGAATTGTAAGTGAAGGGATCTAAAACTAATTATGATTTAGTGTTTATCAGGCAATGAAGAAGATGATCGTTTGTCACAAAACTTATAACAGCATATTTAAGTGATTCAGAATTTTTGGAGCAGAAATTCACATTTATTTCTGTAGTGTCAAACAACTTATTTTTTTTCTTTTTTTCTTTTTAATTTAAGCCCCCTTTTAAAAGTCATATTCCAAGAGGAAAGAGTTAAAATAGCTTAAAGAATGTTTTTGAATGTTATGCTTTGTGGTATTTAACAAATAGTTGTTCAAATTGATTGATCTTAAAGAACTCCAAGTACAAATAATAAAACATTAAAACATACAGAGCCTTGTTGAGGTTTCAAGTCTGGCATTTTATGTATGTATGTGTATGTATGTATGTACATATTATTATTATCTGTCTTTTTAGAAACAGGGTCTCTGTCACCCAGGCTGGAGTTCAGTGGTGCAGTCCTGGCTTACTGCACCCTCAATTTCCTGGACTCAAGTGATCCTACCACCTCAGCCTCCCAAGTAGCTGGGACTATAGGCATGTGCCACCGTGTCCAGATAATTTTTTTTTTTTTTTTAGTATTTTTTGTAGAGACAAGGTCTCACTATGTTACCCAGGCTGTGACATTTTTATTTTTAAGCACTGCTAGTAATATTTTGTTTTACAGCAAGAAAATATCCTTTTGTGGGTATTTAAGGTGAATATTGTTTTTCTATGTAAAAAATTAGAGGTTCTAATTTGTAAACATTTTAAACTCTTATTCAGAATTCATTGAGGGAGTCTCTCAGTTCAGTGTCAAAGGAGATAAGGAGCAGAAGTTGAGGTGTAAGTATCTTCTTCACTGACTTCCTTTTCCTTCTTTTGCTATTACTATTTCATACAGTATTATAAAATCCTTTCGAAATATTCTAAAAGATATCTTTGATTCCAGATACTTAGACATAACAAATGTTATATTATAGTGAACATCTTTATAAGACATTTATAACTAGTATATTTGAATAATGTGCCACAGTTGACTTTTAGTTGGATAGAGAAGGAAAATAGAATTTCCTTCTATGAAATCAGCCATATAAACTGCATGTATGACTTGAATAAGATATTTTGTTTTTTAAATGAAAGTGGGAAGAAATGTTACAAAGAAGCTCCAGAGGCTGGAACTGTTATTATCCTCAGTTTTATCTTTGCAGAAATTGAAGCTTAGGAAGGTTAAATAACTTATTCTCAGCTATGCTAATTGACTCAGGCAGTCTTGACTCCATAGTTCATGCTCTTAACAAACTTTGTTAAACTGTGTCTGAGGGCAACTTCTATATTTAGGAAAGAGCCATCCTTATAGTCATAATTCTAGATGTTTGGCAACTTACTGTTTTGTTTCCTATTGCAAGTACTCACTTGTGATTGCCTTATAATTGCCATTGATTTTCCATCCTCTTTTTTAGTTGCTTTCCGTATCTATGACATGGATAAAGATGGCTACATTTCCAATGGGGAACTCTTCCAGGTGTTGAAGATGATGGTGGGGAACAATCTAAAAGATACACAATTACAGCAAATTGTAGACAAAACCATAATAAATGCAGATAAGGATGGAGATGGAAGAATATCTTTTGAAGAATTCTGTGCTGTAAGTACAAAAGAGCTGGTTCTTTCATTAGTTATATTTTAAAAACACATTTTAGGTTGGGCACGGTGGCCCACACCTGTAAGCAAGCACTTTTGGAGGCCGAGGTGAGAGGATCACTTGAGCCCAGGAGTTTGAGACTAGTCTAAGCAACATAGCATGATTTCATTTCTACAAAAAGATAAAAAAGTTGTCTGGATGTGGTGGCACACACCTGTAATCCCTGTTACTTGGGAGTTTGAGGTGGATCACCTAAATCCAGAAGTTCAAAGTTGCAGTGAGCTATCATGGTGCCACCGCACTCCAGCCTGGGTGACAGAGTGAGACTCTGACACAAGCAAACAAATCAACTTTAGAAACTACTTAAATAGAGAATTTCTTACAGATATTTTGTCCTAAAAAGTTATGTTTGATTTTGCCTAATTGCCCATATTCAAAGCTTTGAAATGTGTTTTTTGTTGTAATTGTTAGTAGTTAACTATTATTATTCTTAAGACCTAAAATTCTCAGTGATCCCTGGTCAGATGCCACAAGAATGATACTAGGAACTTGTTTGTAATCCCCCAAATTACAACTGGTTATATTCTTAAGTTTCTTTGAACACACTCAACGCTTCCAAATAGGAACACAACCACTCAGCTTCTCTACTTCAGCTCTTAAAGCAAAGATAATTGCTTTTTGATGTGTTATTAGGATTGTTAACTGCAAACCAGATATACTAGAGAAAACAAGAGGATCAGAGGAGTGGCAAAGATAGCAAAAAGTTTTGAAATTTTTCAGTCAGTCATGATTGATGCTTCTGTGGGAAAGTTTCCCTCTTGCCTTTCATTTTTAAATTTAAATCACACGGGTGACAAGGATTTAAACAGGTGACTTTGATTGTTGAGTATTATGCAAGGACTGAAGTATAGCTACTTTGGCCTTTCAATAGAAGTTTATACTATCCATTAAGCATTTTTCTTCATTGCAAGGGAAAACTATCTTTGCATTTTGTTCTTAAAAATAGGGTGGTGCTCTAGTGTAAAGAACAGGCTACATCTTTTTGAAAGAGGTAGGCAGATTTGAGACTTGAGACCTTCAGACCCTGAACTGCTCTCAGATGGTACTGCTTCAAGTGTTGGTATCCCTTCCATTTCTTCTCCTCACCAGTGCCAGAGATCACTGACGGACTCCGTGGACTGGCATATGGTTGAGTGTGACATGAGATCGGGCTGATATTGGCATCACAGATAGCAGCCAGTTTTCAAAAAAGGAAAGAAAAAGACATTCTAAGCCCTGGAGGAACAATACATGGAAAATTTTTGGCAGGAGAGGCATGGAAGGGTTGTGCATAAATGAAAATGACTTACATTTAGTAAATATAAAATGTACAATGTATCACATTAGTGGAATGAAATCAAATATATCTTTTAAGTATAGAAATGATGTTATCTACACAGCTTTGAGTTCTTTTTCCATTATTTGTAGTAAATTGCCTTCACTCGTATTTTTGAGGAGCATATTAGTTTTTTTATTTTGATTTCTCAAGCTTTAATAGTTGAAAGAGATGGGAAAAGTTATTTTAAAAGATTATACACCATATACATTTAAAATTTTTCGAACTATTTAACATATACATATAACATAAATGACTAGTGACAGGATTAAAGTTGAACCCATGTATTTATTTTTGCTTTCTCCTAAAACTCAATAAAATGAAATGAATTTTGAAAAGATTATGAACTCACAAGCACAAAATGAATAGTAGAGATGACATCTCAATTTGGTAACTTAGAAAGTTGAGTGCTTTTAACTAATTTAGCAGAATGATTCTAAGCATCAGCTTGGAAATTTGAGAAGCAAACTGATTTGTAGTGGAGAATTCCTAAAACCCTGAAAGACTCAGAAATTGGTGGCATGATTAACTCTGGAAGAGGGGATGAAGGTGAGGGTAAAAACAGGAGAATTGTTTGAAGTCTGTTTTAAGAAGGAATTGGAACAGTAGGTATCTATCCCTGTGCTGTTCAGCCAGGCTGCTGCCTATCCTGCACCCTAGCAAGAGATTGAAGAGACCCTTTTTAGAATGGCTTTTAGAAGGTATGTTGGAGAATTAAGTGAAAATAAGCATATTTGCATGTTGGCATCTCCAATCTCATTCCCACACCTGACTCCCTGACCTCCTAGCAGCTGAATTTTATACCCTCCAGGCAAGAGATGGGAAAGAGCCCTCAGAACAGCTTATCTTCCTAAAGAACAGTTCCATCAGATCACTTAGAGTGTAGTTCTCAGTCAATAACCCTGTCATGTACACAGAGCTTCCAGCGCCCTTTCCACAGAAGCAGAGCCAAGGATCACCTGATGTTGGAGGAAAACCTCTAATAATGGAATATAGAGAAAAACCAAACCCATAAAAGAAGTTTAGAACAAACAGGTTAGGCAAGGCCAGAAAAACTTCTAAAAGCAAAACCAAAATCTGTCATTATTATCCTCAAGGTTTCAAAGTACACTGAATTTTTGAAACAGAAAGTGGATAATAATATGTTTTCTGACTGAAAGGACTTACTGAGTACCCAGCATAATATGTAACAATAATATGGACCTGGGTACATTGTCAAAAATTTCAAAAGAGTGGAAGCAAAGAGGTGGTTCGACAAATTTCCAAATGGTAGGGTAGAGGGATGGGAGGGGGCTTTTGTACAAAGAATTAAGAATCATAGTGACATTGCATTTCTCAGTAGCAAAGGTGGAAACAGGAAGACCGTGGAGCATTGCCTTTGCAATTCCAAGGGACAATTATTTCTAACCTAAAATTATCTACAAATTCAATTAAATGAGGTGGTAGAAGAAACACATTTTCAGATAAGTTGGGCTTCCCTATTTAGAAGCTACTGGAGTATATGCTCCTACTGAAATAGGGTCATAAATCAGCAGAGTGTGGGATCCAGGAAGCAAAGGGGCATGAGAGAGGAGGAAGCATCTGGGAAGATGGTGGAAGGAGAGCCAGAGGTGACAGACCTGGAGAACAGGCTGCCTGGAATGCAGGGGTTGGCGGGCTCAGAGTATTTTCAAGACAATAAAATTGGTAGAGCTACATAAATAATAAATACGTATATTTATTTGAATGTCATATACAATTCTGATTAGCTATAAGCATTTTACAGAATCATAACAATGTAGACCTCTGAATTGGAGCCATTGGAGTAGTGTAGAGCGTGGGGAGTATTTGGGCTAGGAGATAGAAAAGGAGAGGAATGTGTGAAAGCTGACTTCATCATCTTCTGTTGTGGGAAGGCAGTACATAATGGCTAAAGCTCTAAAACCAAGAATGTTACTGGAGACCAGTTGGAATGTTGGAATGTTACTGGAGACCAGGAGGTAAATGCTGAAAGTCAACGGAAAATTATAAATGATTGTCTCAATAAAAGGAAATAGAAAATGAGGACTGGGTGGCAAACTGCTGTTTTCACAGAAGTTGTAGAACTATTGACTCTTTATGCTTTATTTTTCAAACACCTTTTTTTGGTTTAAATTTTAAAATAATACAGATATAACTATACACAAGAATATGGATTAATTTCTCAAACACAATGTTGAGTGAAAGAAGCTAAATACGAAATTCCATTTATAAAATGTATAAAAACAAATTCATGATGTTGAAAATCAGGATAGTGGTGTGTGTGTGTGTGTGTGTGTGTGTGTATTGAGGTGGGAGGAGGAGAAATGGCTGGTGCCTGGAAGGGGGCCAAAGCCAGAGTCTTGATGATGGTCTGGGTGCTGGTTATTTGGTGTTCACTTTGTGAAAAGTCCTCAAGCTGTGGACATTTATGACTTACACATCTCTTTAAGTAGGTTAAAGTTGCAACTTCCCTCCTAAATAATACAAATGATTACAGTTAGATTTCCATGTCAGTATTCACTGAGATGTATATTTGACTACACATATTTGACTTCATAGAAAAATAAGGTGCGGAAATTTTTATTCCCTTGGTGCTTTTTAATCACTTCCAGAACAGACTGACAGTGAAGCCCATATTTGATTTTTGAGGATAGTTTTTATGGTAACATCTGGTTATCATGTAGTATTAAACAGCTAAAGTAATGGTCGCCAAACTATAGAGCATGCCAGCTCCTGCTCATGGCTTGTTTGTATATGTCTTTGAGCTAAGCATGTCGTTTACTTTTTTGTTTTGAGTTGGAGTCTCACTCTGTCACTCAGGTTGGAGTGCAGTGGCATGCTCCTGGCCACTGCAGCCTCGACTTGCTGGGCTCTGGCGATCCTTTCGCTTCAGCCTTCCAAGTAACCGAAACTATAGGTGTATCTTTTACATTTTTTAAAGCAATTTTTTTTTTGAGTTGTAGTCTCACTCTGTCACCCAGACTGGAGTGCAGTGACTGCTCCCGGCCACCGTAGCCTCGACCTGCTGGCCTCCGGCAATCCTTCCGCCTCAGCCTTCCAAGTAACTGGAACTACAGGCACGCACTACCAAGCCTGGTTAATTTTTTGATTTATTGTAGAGATGAGGTCTTGCCAAGTTGCCCAGGCGGGTCTCGAACCCGCAGGCTCAGGCAATCCACTCAACTCGGCCTCCCAAAGCTCTAGGATTACAGGCTGAACCACCGAGCCCGGCTAAGCATTTTTTTTAAAAGAGAAGCAAATGCAAAAGAAAAACTATATGTAGCCTACAAAGCCTAAACTGTTTACTGTCTTATCCTTTATAGAACAAGTTTGCCAAGCCTTGTACTAGAATACAAATAATAATGATAATGATAACGATGCTTGTATCCTAGGAGAAAGAAACCATGAAAATTCTAACTGGAGGCCGCTGAAGTTTTTTTTATTTTTTAAATTTGCCTCTGAAAATGGCTAAAGTAATGTGTTTTTTAAGTTGTAGTGTGATGAGATGGTTGATTAGACTACCAAAAAGGAGTTTCTTAGACATTAAGTTTTATTTGTTCCTATCTGTTGCAGGTTGTAGGTGGCCTAGATATCCACAAAAAGATGGTGGTAGATGTGTGACTCTTTTTAGAGTACCACCCAACACTTTTGCTTTCTTCTCCATCTCTGAAGATCTGCTCAAGACGTCCAGCAATGCTCTCTGTGTATTTAAATGGAAGTATTTTTCTCTGTGAAGCCACATTTTCCAACATGAGCCTCATGAAGCCAACTTAAGTGTTATTGAACTCTTATTCTCTCAATAACTCAGTGTAGCACTTTAAAGTCTGAAGGACAGCAGCATGAAAAGAGCATATCAATGTGGTGGAGAAAGGGAAGGGGTTGGCTTTTTAATTTATTTTTCTTCATCTTTTATAACAAGAAAGTATCTATATATACATATGTAAATATTTATATATAGATATATGTAGCTTTCTATATATGTAGTAGGTTGGCTTTAATTTAATATACTTGATTCAGAAACAAAACAATAGAGTACAAAAGTGCCAAGCAGAACATAAAACATCCTTACTTTTATTTCACACAGTTTTATATATAGATAGAAGATTGTACAATTTGAGCCGGGTGTTAGGCCAGCTATTTTCCTTTTCCTGTGCTTTCTCCTTTGAGAGATTGACAAAGCATTTGTTAACGTCCTATTATTTTACCTTAATTACATTTTGTAACAAAGGAGTCTGTAACTTTATTTATACTTATGAATATATTTCCAGGGACTATGTCTCATTGCTGAGCAGCTTTTAATAAACCTCTGCTTGAGGAAAAAGTATAGTTCAGTGCTACTGCCAAGAGCTAGTTCTTGTGTTCATATAGTAACTGCACAGTGCTTATGGCTGCTTCATTCTGTTACTTTGTAGCCAGGAGCCATTTATTAAGTGTCCCTCAGTAAATGTAAACTACCAGTTGTGATTTTATACATAAAAGCCAGAAGCTGTCTGAGGCAATCATGATTTATTATATGCATTACTTAGTGAAGAATTAAGCAATCATGTAACTGCTTAGGATATCCATTTGTTTCCTCACATGGGTAAATAATTTGTCATTAAACTTGTGTTTGAACCATGAATTTCCCTTCTGTGTTTCAAAAGATTTGCAGCTAATCTAAAAAACTAGTGATATTTAACATGCGTATATGTTTCTAAACACCCACACATATTTGTAGTTTAAATGGGAGAACTTGCTAATCTATATGCCACAGAAGAGCACTATTTTATCAAGATTTATGCCTCTTAAATTTTCTTACGTCATAGAGGATGCATGGTTTTTAAAATTGATTTGCCCATATATAATTGGTAATGGATGATAACTTAATGAATTTGTGTGATATAAAAGTAGTGTATCATGTTCTACCACTTGATGTTATCCCTTCCCTTTTCTGCAAAGGTACTATTGGCTGGAAGAACAACATCTTGGTTGGCTTTGTGTGACAATACTCTTTCCCTACATAGCTTTTCTATAAAAACTGGTTTTCTAATCATAATAGAAAGGGCAGGTTGAGTCGAGATGAATGAATCTTAAGTTGAGCACACCTGCCTGCCATCGCTGTTCCTTCAGCTGAGTGCTGCACATCATGGGCTCTGTCTGTGAGAGAAAAATCCCGGTGCTTGGTGTCCTTGCATGACATGGAGTTTTGCATGTAGATCAATTTAAAATGTACCTCTTGTTTACATAATTTGCATAATTTTAAAAGATAATGTTGCCAAACTTTGGAAATGTTAATGTTCAAACTGAAAATCTCCACTACATGTAACTTTCTTCCTCTGGATCAGTGCGTGGCTTAAAATCCCAGCCAGTGGTTTGATCTGTTCCAGTGTCAACTGCCATGTGCTCTGCTTCAAGGGGGAACTAGTCTTTTGTGAATTTTTTGTACATAAGTATTTGTTACAAATATTTTAGCAAATGCTTTCTATTTCTCTTGCTTGTGCATATCTTGGCTGGCGTTACAGAAAAATAGTGCAAACATTATTTCCTTACTGGGGAATAAGGGTTTTTTTTCTTTCTCTTCTTTTTTTTTTTTTTTAGTTTGTGTGTGGGGGTGGGTAGGGGAGGGGGTGGTTTATGTTGAATGTTTAGTTTTTCTTCTGCATGATACGTCATGTTGTGGGAACTTTAGAAAACTTCATACTGTATGGATAAGAAAATAAAATATTTGAAACTTGCTTGAATTCATTTAGTGTTCTTTGGTGGGCTTGCATAGCTATAAGAGAGGGTTTTTTTATTTAGATTTTTAAAAAAATCTGGTAGAATGATATTTTATCTTTCACTGTAAGTTATACATCTGCTTTATCCCTGGGAAGAACCTACAAAGCCCTGCAGTACTCTCCCCTACCCCCATTTCTTCCCTGGTCTCTTCCCTGACTACTCAGTCTTTCTCCAGCCATCTTTCCTCCTTGTGGTATAAACGATTTATACAAGTTGTGATTTTATTACAGATGTTTTAGTACTTTGTCACTCTGCATAGAAGGTAAAAAATTGCATTTTTTGAGATTTCATTTATTCAGTAGGTTGCCTTTGATTTGTTAATCCCTACTACATGTCCAGCACTGTAGAAGGTACTTGAGATACTTAATGACAGGTAAATGACATCCCTGGCCCAGATGAGTTGCAGAATGTTGGGAATTTTTATATTCAGAACCACATGTATCATCAAATGTGCACAAGTTACAACGTGTTATGTGCTGGGTTGTGCGGCTCCTTGGAGTATCCCAGGAGTATTAGTTTGTTAATCCTAAGGGAGTAAATGGATATAAGCCCCAGAGCTCCCTTTACCTACTTGTTACAGTTTAAGAGTAGACAAGATGACTATCCATAGAGTGGGATATTTGCAAATCATATATCTGATAAGGGATTGATATCTAGAATATATGAAAATCACAACTGGACAACAGAAAACCTGGTTGAAAATGGGTAAAGAGATTGGGTGCAATGGCTCATACCTATAATACTGACACTTTGGGAGGCTGAGGTGGGAGAATCTCTTTGAGACCAGCCTGGGCAATAGAGCAAGACCTTGTCTCTATTTTTAAAAAAAATGGTTAAAGGATTTGAGTAGACATAGTGTGAAGATGTTATATAAATCACCAAAAAGCACATGAAAAGGTATGCATTAAGGAAATGCAAATCATAGCAAAATGAGATTTAGGATGGGCTTATTACCATTAAAAAGAACAAGTGTTGGGGAGGTGGTGAATAATTTGGAATCCTTGTGTGTTGTTACTGGGCATGTCAAACGGTGTAGCCACTGTGGGAAAGGCATGGTGATTCCTTAAAATATTAATCACCATGTGATTAATTCCACTTCTGGGTATATACCCAAAAGAAGTGGAAGCAAGGACTCAAATAGATGTTTGTACAACCATGTTCATGGCAGCATTATTCACAACGGCCAGAAGCTAGAAGAACCCAGGTGTCCATTGGCAGGTGGTTGAACAAAATCTATATGCAGTAAGTCCCTTACATATGAACAAGTTCTATTCTGAGTGTGTGTTTGTAAGTCCAACAAAGTTAGCCCAGGCACCCAACTAACACAATTGGCTATAATAATATTGCACTGTAATAGGTTTACTATACATGCTTTTCACACAAATATAAAAGATAAAAAAACATTTTTAACCTTTACAGTACCTCGAATAGTACAGTAGTACAGCTAGACATGTGAACTAAGGTGATTTGACATGTGAACACATGTTCACATCTGAAAGTTTCACAACTTGAAGGTTCATATATAGGGGACTTGGTATACAATGGAGTATTGCTTAGCAGGAATGTAATTTTGACACATGATACAACATGAATGAAACATGCCTGTCGCAAAAGAACAAATACTAGGAGCTGGAAGGTAGATTGGTGATTACCTAGGGCTGGGGGAGGGAAATAGTTAGTGTTAAATATATTGGATATACAGCTTCAGTTTCAAAGATAAAGTTTGGATGGATGGTAGTAATGGTTGCACAGCAATGTGAATGACCTTAATGTCACTGAATTGTATGCACACTTAAAAATGGTTAGCATATTTTACCATAAAAAGTGTTTTTTTTGAAGAGTAGAGACAAGTCAGGAAAAAAGAATCTGTCTTTCTGGGTAGTTTCCAGGACTTACCCACATAGAAAGAAAATGGTGTTCAGACTCAGGTCTTGAACATTAATCCTTAGTCTTCAAAAACCCCCACTGATTCAAAATTCTCTGATTGCAGTAGCTAAACATTTTAAAGTTCATTGGCATCTCAACCTTTCACTTCCCTTAGGCATTGAAATCAGGTAACCAGATCAAATTTCTAAGTCCCTGCCTTGCTCTCGCAGGTCTTTTGAAGACTTACTGATTTCTCTGACCAAGTAAGTAACTAATGTTTGCACAATACTTTGCAAGTTGTAGAATGGTTGTGTATGCTGTCACTGTATACTTTCAGTAATCTAACATTAAGCATGTTGTCCTCATCACATGGTTAACATGGTTCTAGGATCAGGAAAACTAATTCTTTGCGACATGCTCATTGAGCTTGAGCTTTCTTCCCTACCAGCCTTGTTCTAGATGGCCTGAGAGTTGGAGTCCAGATCTGCTGGATTCACTAGGAGGAAACCTCATGGTCTCCTTCCTTCTCAGCATTGAATACTTAATACTTTCATTTATCAGGCCCATCTCCCAGGCAATGTATCAATACATATGTAAGTAAACTGTTATGTCAGGAATTGCACAAAATCACCATGCCTTCGGGTGGTAAGCAGACACAAGTTACTGCAATAGAGCATGACAAATGCCATGCAAACATGGATAAGGTATGAAGCATTAAATTTAGTGTCTTGGTTTTAAAGCAGGGCTTAATGAAGTGATTTGATACAGATTGCTAACTATCAGTGTGATACAGTCAAATTTATCACCTCTATTCCTTCTCCATCCTATCCCATCCCAAGAATTAGCTGGGTTCCCTCTAACATTTTCTCTCCCTTTCAAGACTAAAGAGAGGCCCAAACCAAGTTTTGTTTTTTGAAGCAGGGCCTCACTTTGTCATCCAGGCTGGAGTGCCATGGCACTGCCTCAACATCCTGAGCTCAAAGCAATCCTTCTACCTCAGACTCTGCAGCAGGTGTGCACCATTCTAAGCCTGGCTAATTTTTATAATGTTGCCTAGGCTGGTCTCAAACTCCGGAGCTCAAGCGCTTCTCCTGTCTCAGCCTCCCAAAGTGCTGGGATTACAGGTGTAAACCACTGCACCCGGCCATAAACCAAGTCCATACCGTAAATTCAGCATCCCAAATTTTAGCTGCCAAGGAAATGTATTTGCTCTTTTGTATTTCTGATAGTTGTTAACTACATAAGAAATCTGCAAAAGGAATTTAAACGATACCAAAACATTATTTCCCTTTAACACAGTATCCATGTTTTCCCAATTGAAATTATGCTCTTAACTTTCTACTTCAGTTCTTTGAACATCAACCCCAAACATTTGATTGCCTAGCAAAAGTTCATTTCAGTCCAAGTGCTTTAAAAGTAAACCTGATTAAACCTGCAGTCCCATTTCCTAGAAAAGTACATACTAAGTAGACACATTTCAAAGATAACTTCTTAGGCAGGGTGAGGGTGGCAAATACCGCCAGAAGCCTGTACAGGCTCCAGAGTAAGAAAGTGCCAATATACTCTTTTTCAAAAGGTAAGAGGAAAGGGATCTGACACCATAAATACATATATATTCTCTCCATGCTTTTGTGTTGCCAAAGGATAAAAAAATGGGATGGCCCATTTCCAGTAATTTCTAGTTGGACTCCCAGTATGTAAGTATAGCTAATCCCATGCAGTATACAAACTATCTTGGAACAGCGGCATGTAACAATGGACAGGAAACAAAAGTTTAATAAGAATAATTTTTATTTTAGTTCTTACATGAGCTTTCTAATACTACCATAAGTAGTTTAAAAAGTTTTTACCATGGGTTTTAGAGCTGTACAAGAGAATGTAGTATCTAAATCACATTTAATATTCCTTGCATTTAAAAAATGCATAAATCATACACTATTTCAAAGCCAGATACTATTGCATTTGTACAACATGGATTTTTGGGTGGGAAAAACATTCTTTTGCTATTTCACCGTGACTTCCTAGAAGGAATACAGATTTATAATAGTTCTTACGATTTTCAATTTTATAATGATGTGAAAGTGAATCCATTCATTAGAAGCTGTACTTCAAGCACTCACACAACTATTGTTTTTCACCTTCAGTACTCAATAAATGATATGAGATATTCAGCATTTTATTATGAAATAGGCTTTGTGTTGGATACTTTCACCCAACTGCAAGCTAATGTAGTGTTCTGAGCATGTTTAAGGTAGGCAGGGCTAAGCTATGATGTTCGGTAGGTGTATTAAATGCATTTCTGACTTAAAAGATATTTTGAAATTCAGTGGGTTTATTCAAACAAGCCCATTGTTGAGATACATAGGTGTATTTAACAGCGGTAATGTCTTGCTACTTTCGTTAAACGCTTATTTGAAAAAGAAAACTCATTCCTCACATCAACCTTGTGATGTCTTTAATTTTTTTTAAGTGAGATTTATTGAGAAGACAGAAAAGCTCCCATAGCAGGAGGGGACCTGACAGGGTTGCCCAGTCTTTATTTTTAAAACTGCAAAACAAGTACAAAGATTAGCCCTTTCTGATTCACATGATATGGCCAAAATTATTGGTTATGACCTGATTCTAAAATAATCACACACCACTCACTATTAAGGGCCATGATTCACACACAGGTTTTCTTAGATGACTTAATTACAAAGAATAAATGTTTATAAATTTATAAATAAAAACTTATAAATTCACACAGAAAAGCTGTTTAAGCAAGAAGTTTCTCTCCAAATGAGAGGATTATAAACGATACAAATCTACTACATGTGATTAAAATGGAAAAAAATGATAAATTATCATTTTTTACCCACTGTGTAAGTATAATAGAATTAAATTCTGATATTTAAATTATCCTAAAAGCTTGAGTGTGAATACTGTTGAACCTTTCCTTTCTGTTTATGCTTTGGCCAAAATGGAAGAAAGGATTGTGGCTTCGAGTGACAAATTCCTCACTTGGTTTCTTGTGACCACTTGTAGGGTGTAGTCTTTTTCTCTAAAGTTCAAAGACAAAAGTTTCTGATTTGAAATCAGAATCGATCTGCTGATCTGCTAGCCACAGCTCGAATATTGCCATATACCTTTGATGGAGGATTTCCTGCAAGAGAAAAAAAAGTAATCTCTATGTATACAAACATACTCTCATACACAGAAACTAGTCATCCCTTGGGATCCACAGGCAAGAGGTTCCAGGACCCCCACAGATAAAGCCTCAAAGACTCAAGTCTCATATAAAAAATGTCAAAGTATTTGCATTTAGTATATGCATATCCTCTCACATTATTTATTTACTTTTTGGGGATTTAGGTCTCACTGTAGCCCAGGCCAGAATTCAGTGACACCATTATGGCTCACCACAGCCTCAACTTCCTGGGCTCATGAAATCCTTCCACCTCAGCCTCCCAAGTAGCTGGGACTACAGATGCATGCTACTATGCCCAGCTAATTTTAAAATTTTTTTGTAGAGACTAGGTCTTGCTATGTTGCCCAGGCTGGTCTCAAACTCCTGAGCTCAAGCAATCCTCATGCCTCAGCCTCCCAAAGTGCTGGGAGTACAGGTATGAGCCACCATGCCCAGCCCCTCTCATGTTTTAAATCATCTCTAGATTATTTAATACAATGTGAATGCTATGTAAATAGTTGTTATGCAGTATTGGCTTTTTTTTTTACTTGTTATTATTTTAAAATATTTTTGATCTGCAATTAGTTGAATCTGCAGATGAGAAGCCTGTGAATATGGAGGGCTGACTACATGATTAAAGGGACTACAACCCTAAAAATAGGGACATTTTAAAATTGAATCTATCTTCAATTACCAAAACCAACTTAAAAGAAATCATACTTAGTATTCTCTAAAACACATTTTAAATTCCTAAGAGCCAAAGGCACTGAGTTCTGAAAAATACTTCAGGCTGGGCACAGTGGCTCATGCCTACAATCCCAGCACTTTGGGAGGCTGAGGTGAGAGAACTGCTTGAGCCCACGGGTTTGAGACCAGCCTGAGCAACTTGGCGAGACCTCATCTGTACAATAAATCAAAAAATTAGCCAGGTGTGGTGGTGCACACCTATAATTCCAACTACCTGGAAGGCTGAGGCAGAAGGATCACCTGAACCCAGCAGGTTGAGGCTGCAGTGGCTGTGAACGTGCCACTGTACTCTAGCCTGGGTGACAGAGTGAGACTCTGACTCAAAAAAAACAAAAAACTTCAAAGATGACAGCCACTCAGATCTGGGCACTGATGCATAATCCTAAGTGTTTCCTGAGCAGGCTGCTAAGACCCTACAGCTCTTATCAGAAGGCACTGAATGTGCTGCAGGATCATGAAAATTCGATTAAGTGGGTCAGGTAAACTGACTTAAGCTGTTCAGCAGCTCCTTTTTTTTTTCCCCTGGCCCTAACTGTGGTGGTCTCTGCAATTTTGGAATGGCTTGTCTGTGCCTCTTACCAAGGCAGCAGCAAAGATTTAAGCAATACTCCCCAATAAACACTTTCTCTTCTCTAGCAGACAAACAAATGGAATCTAAGCAAAAATAGTTCCATTTTTTTTCTCTAGTTCCACATTTGCCAACCCACAAGGGTTTCTACTTGCTATCTTTAACACCCTAATCTGCTTTGAAAATGGGGTTTAACTTCCTAAGTTAACTCCCTATTCTTTCCAGAGAAAACACTAAAGAAATATCGTTACCCAAGATGAGGTTGCAAATGGCAGTTCTTGCCATCTTGATGTTTTGGAAAGAGCCAAGTATATGAACCTTCCTGAAAAAGATAAAATAAGACAAGCTAGCAATGAAAAGCATTCCTTTACCTAAGTCCTATAATCCAAATCAAGAGTCAGGTTCCCAAATAAAGGTGGTGGTGATGACTGAACAACTCTGTAAAAATATACTACAAACCACTTTAAAAAGGGTAAATTTTATGGTATGGGGGGGGGACGACAACCCTGGAATTTACTTATTAAAAACTGTGTTTTTATTCTTACATGTTCAAATTTCAGTCATTCTCAAAGTATTCTCCATTTGATGCACTACACCTATCAAAATGCTTTTCCCACTGCTCAAAAGTTTTTAACTTGTCAATTTTGATGCCTGTTAGTGCTTCTGCCATTTTTTGTTTCGCCTCTTCCACACTGGCAAAACATTTCCCTTTGAAGACCTTTTTCATCCAAGGAAACAAAAACAAATATCTCAGGGCGAGCCTGGGTGGACAGGGAGGGTGGGGCATGGGGTCATGCTAGTTTTGGTCAAAAACTGAGCACACAGCACGGTGTGGACAGGTTGTTTGTGTAAATCACTATCATGAAACGGGCAAATGCATTGAAAATCTCCAAGAAAAAATTCACTGAAGCTGAATGCAGTCTCTTACAACAATAGTAGCGAGTAAACGAATGGCAATGGTTCCTAGAACTTACCTAGCGGGGAAAGCCTGTACTACAAGAGTCCTGCCCTCCAAGAAAATTCCGGGTTTTTGGGGTCCCCCCTCATACACGAATTATGTCTCAATAAAAAATTATTAGAAAAGACAAAAAATGAAAAACAAAACTAAAAAGTTCTTAAGATTCTTGGTTAATAATGACTACCACCCAGTGAGTGTTTTCTATGTGCTAGGGCTTTATATACATGTTCTCATTTAATCCTCACATTAACTGTATTAGGTAGATGTTACTCTCATTTTACAGATGAGGAAAGAAGTTTATAAGAAAAAAAAAAAAAGCTGCCCAAGACTACACACTGGCGTAGCTGGTATACCTGGAAATGCAAGTGACATTTTACTCGATACAACATATTTGTCTTTCAGCTGCAAAGCTTTCTGAAGACTATTTCAATTTCTTAAGTACTCTGAGGATCATCCAGACCCTTTTAATGGGCATTCCTTATTGAAAAACTCATAAAATAGATAAAATAGAATTTTGCCTTTTGCGTCCGTCTTCCAAAATGTTTTCCCTGTGCCCTCTACGATAGTTACCAGCTAAATCCTCTGTTCTCTAACTTTTGTTAACATTCCTTTTACCATCTTGCTCTCACTAAAACCCAGCTTTCAAATGGTGGTCAGTTTTTCCTCCACAAACCAGGTGCCGCTGCACATGAAGAAGCGGGGCAGGTGCCTTTCTGGTCCTCAAGACACATCCAGGCCACTCACTCTCTCCTTCCTTCCTCCCTAAAAAACCCTCAGCTTTGAATCCGCTCAGATGACATCACCTCTTTACCCTGCCTGTCTTTTCCTTGCTATTCCGCTCACCATTCTTCACAGTTTCAATAGCCCTGAAGATGAGAGTCCCCAAACCCTAGCCTCTTGGGTCCCTGACATCCTTTATGCCAATCCTGGGTTCTCGTTTTCTGCTCCAGCCTGCCCTACTCCCACCTCTCCATAATTTCAATTTCAAACATTCAACTCTCTCTCTCTACCATGCTCTCTCATTCTAATGCACTTACACAAAATTTTTTGGAGATTTGTGACAACTGGGAAAAACTCAGGATAAACTGCATGGCCTCAAAAAATGAGAAAAATTAAAATAAAAAATATGTCAAGAGTGCATAAAATACAAGAGTGCATAAAATAGATACTAGTCTATTTTATCATTTACTACCACAAAATATACACAAATCTATTATAAAAAGTTAAAATTAATAAAAATCACACAGACTGTATGTAGTGCCATTTGTAGCAAGAGAAATGTAAACAAATGCAAAGATGCAGTATGAAATCATATGTGCATAAAATTAACTGTGGTACAGACTGTATGACTGCAATAACTTCATAGCCACATCCTGTTGCTCTTTGTATGAACTCAAGTTGTCTTGAGTACACATGTAAAACACTATATGATGTTATCATCTCCCCTGAGCAGTCTGACTCTCCAATAAATTGTATATCACAGTAAAAAGTGATCTCTCATGGCTCTTGCATATTTTTTCATCCTGTTCAGTGCTGTATCGTAAATTTTGAATAACACTAAGGGACCCACGTCAAGTGCCACTAGTGATGCTTGATGTGCTCCCAAGAAGCAGAGAAAAGTCATGACATTGCAAGAAAAAGTTCAACTGCTTGATATGCACCATGGATTGAGGTCTGCAGCTGTGGTTGCCAGCCATTTCAAGATAAGTGAATCCAGCTTAAGGATAATTGTAAAAAAAGAAAAGGAAATTCATGAAGCTGTCACTGCAGCTATGGCAGCAGGACAAAAACTGTAACCTTTTGCAAAATAACTTTTTATCTTGTAAAACAAACATAAAGCCCCTAGGCCCCAGAGTGAGATGGACTCTTTGTGGCAGTAAGATACCAAATTATAAATAAGACCTAAGGTCATGCTAGGCAAGGGCTAAGTCACATAGGCCTGCATTTAAAGAATAATTGCCTGGAAGGTTGAGGCAGAAGGACTGCCTGAGCCCAGCAGGTTGAGGTTTTGGTGGCCGTGAGCATGTCACTGCACTCCAGCCTGGGCAACAGAGACTCCAACTCAAAAAAAAAGAATAACTGCCACTAGGTTTTTTCTTTTTCTCTAGGCTACCTAAACAAGCACTGGTCTCATGATAAGCAACATTAAAACAAATGCAGTTCACTGACAGCCAGACACTAAGTAGTGACCCCAGCACCCCTCCACAAGCCATAGCTTTGATTGAACAAAAGACTAACAACAGTAACTTTCTCCTGATAAGAGAACATGGACCAGGGACTAGTTCTGGCCAGTTTACAGAGGATGCACATTCAGTGCCTCAGTGTCCCTGCTTCATTTTTTTGATGTATAGGGCCTAACTGTAATGCATTCACATGTTAAGCCTCCACCTCAAAGTGAACATGTGTCACAGGTATCATACATGTTTATTTAGTACATATGTTAGGACTCCCTTCAAGAATATTCATAGCTCTTCCTGTAATCTGTTAACTATGTATACTTAGTTAACCCATTTCCTTCACCATAAATTCCTACTTCACCCATCCCACCCTCAAAGTATCCATTTCAGTCTTTGTTGGAGCCTATCAGGAAGGCCACCCTGCAGGCTGCAACCCTTTTTAAGAAATGAAGTCTCCTCTCCACATTTATAGATCTCATGATTCTTCTGCTGTTAAATCTTGTCTTGGAAATGCAGCTTTTATGTAAGTGCAGGATCGCTACAAGAAATGCATGCCACAGACTCCTCATATGATTCAAGGAAAAGTAAAGTCATTTAATGACAAAATAAAGAAAGGTTAAGGTTCTAAAGCTGGAGAATTTAATGCCAGCAAGACAGTTTGATCATTTTAAAAGAAATGGCTTTAAAAATACCAAGATTAACACAAGCAGTGTCTGCCAATCAAGAGGCAGTAGACGAGTTCTCAGATGCCATTTAAAAAAATCAAGAAGAAATTTATCTGCTAAACAGGTCTTTTGTCTGTTTTTTTGAGATAGAATCTCTGTTGCCCAAGCTAGATGGCAGTGGCATGATCCTAACTCACTGCAGCCTCAACCTCTTAGCTTCAAGTGATCCTCCCATCTCAGTCTCTCTAGTAGCTAGGACCACAGGTGCGTGCTACCATGCCCAGCTAATTTTTAAATTTTTTTAGAGAGGAAGTCTCACTATGTTGTCCAGGCTCATCTTGAACTCCTGGGCTCAAATGATCCTCCCACCTTGGCCTCCCAAGTGCTGGGATTATAGGCATGAGCCACCACACCCAGTCCTGAACAGGTTTTTAGTGAAGATAAAACCTGTTCTGGGGGAAAAATGCCAAAAAGGATATTTATTAGTAAGAAAGAGAAGAACCAGTATTTAAGACAGGAAAGGATAAGCTAACTCTATGGTCCTTTGCAAATGAAGTCAGGTTTATGATTCGCACTGTCCTTATCTACAAAGCTGCAAATCCCTGAGCCTTGAACATAGCTGCCAGTCTTTTGACTGTACAAGAAGGCCTGAACAATGAGAACTCTTTTTCTGAATTGGTCCTACTGATGCTTTGTCCTTGAAGTCAGGATGTACACTGCCAATAAGGGACTGTCTTTTAAAGTTCTTCTGATATTGAACAATGCCCCTGGCCACCCAGAATCCCATTCCCATTAATTCAACACTGAGGCATCAGAGTGGTCTGCTGGCCCCCAAACACAATGTCCCTAATTCAGCCTCTAGAGCAAGAGGTCATAAGGACTGTTAAAGCTCACTATACACAGAACTCAACGGAAAGGATTGCCAATGCTATGGAACATCAAAAAGTCTGGAAGGATTACACCATTTAAGACACCATCATTGTTACAGGAAAAGCCCTGAAAACCATCAAGCCTGAAGCAATAAATTCCTTCTGGAGAAAACTACATCCAGATGTTGTGCGTGACTTCACAGAATTTATGAGAGCGCCAATCCAGGAAATCGTGAAAGAGATTGTGGATGTGGCAAAAAGTAGGGAGGTGAAGGGTTTCAAGATATGGATCTTAAAGAAATCCTAGAGCTAAAAACAATGCACCAGAGAAACTAACAGAAGACACCTTGATAGAGATGACTGCTTAAAAACCAGTGCCAGGTGATGAGGAAGACATAGAAGCAATGCCATAAAACAAACTGATAGCAGGCAATCTGGCAGAAGGGTTACGATGATTCAAGACTTCTTTTACAACATGAACCCTTTTATGGTATGGATATGGAAAACAAACAGTTGGCACCATAAACATTTTTAGAGAAAGGAAAAAACAAAAAAAGTCACACAGACATCACAGTGAATTTCCATAAAGTTACACGAGATATACCTGACTCGCCTGTCTTCTTCCACCTCTGACACTCAAGATAGCACGTACTACCTCCTCCTCAGTCTACTCAACATGAAGACCATGAGGATAATCCGCTTCCACTTAATAAATAGTAAATACATTTTTTCTTTCATGATTTTCTTAGTAATATTTTCTTTTCCTAGCTTAATGTAAGAATACATATAACATATGAAATATGTGTTAATCAACTATGTTATCTGTAGGGTTTCTGGTCAGCAGTCGTAGTAGTTATATTTTGGGAGAGTCAAGTTATATGTGGATTTTCAACTGTGCAGGGGGGTCAGTGGCCCCAACTCCCATACTGTTCAAGGGTCAACTGTATATCTATGTAAAGGAACAGTACTTGGCAATAAAAAGGAAATAACAAGCTAATTGAAAGAAGCCTACATACTGCCTATTTCCATTTGTATGAATTTCTAGAAAAGGTAAAACCATAGTGACAGAAAGTAGAACAGTGGTTGCCTGGGAATGGGGTGGAGGCAGGAGACTGACCACAAAGAAGCACAAGGGGACTCTCAGAGTTTCTGTGAGTGTGTTAGGACTACAGAACATCTGCCAAAAACTCATTGGACTGGATACTTAAAACAGATGGATATTATTGTATGTATATTTTATTCTATGTATTGTATATATGTTATACCACAATAAAGCTGTGAAAAAGCTGGCTCAACTAGTAAATTTTAACACTTATACATTTATAAATTTTGTGGGGTGCAGTGGCTGTAATCCAGCACCTCAGGAGGTGGAGGCGAGAGGACTGCCTGAGCCCACATGTTTGAGACCAGCCTGGGCAACTTGGCCAGACCTTGTCTCTACAATAAATTTTAAAAAAAAAATGAGCTGGGCGTGGTGGTGTGCACCTGCAGTTCCAGCTACTTAGAAGGTTAAGGTGGAAGGATTGCCTGAGCCCAGAAGGTTGAGGCTGTGGTGGTCATGAACATGCCACTGCACTCCAGCCTGGGCGACAGTGAGACTCCGACTCAAAAAAAAGAAAAAAAATGATAAATTTAACATACTAACCATAATTCATTAGCAAATCAGTTACAGTTTTGATTTCTACATTCACAAAAGCTTTTAAGGCTATTCAGCCAATCCCTGACTTAGGATAATTTGACTTAAGATTTTTTGACTTCATGACATGAAAATGGTGCACATTCAGTACATTCCTCAATTATGATGGAACTACGTCCATATAAACCCATCGTAAGCTAAATACCTTAAGTCAAAGCACTTTGACTTTTTGACTTATGACATCTTCAATTTACATAGGGTTTGTCGACACAACCCCATCATAGGTTGAGGAGCATCTGTATATGGTACTTTAAGATGTGGTGTACATTTCCACATTTTTCAAATTTTCAGCTCAAAAGAGCGTTACCCATGGCTCCATATTTCTGACTCTAGGTTCAATCCATGAAAGATCAGCACTTTGGGAGGCTGAAGCAGGAAGACTGCTTGAGCCCAGGAGTTTGAAACCAGCCTAGGCAACACAGTGAGACCACATCTCTACAAAAAAAAATTTAAAAATTAGCCAGGCATTCATCTGTAGTCCCAGCACTCAGGAGCCTGAGGCAGAAGGATTGCCTGAGCCCAGGAGGTTGAGGCTGCAGTGAGCTGTAGTCATGCCATCGCACTCTAGCCTAGGAGACAGAGTGAGACCCTGGCTCAAAAAAATAAAAATAAATAATAATACATCTGGATTTGGGAAAAGAGGACCAGCAACATAATATCATAGCTATACTTAGAGTATAAATAAAAATGTAAAATTTATATTGTAAATAACGATGAGACCTTCAGTTTAAAGCAAAAATGAGATAATATTAAAAGAAATTATTTCTGGATTTAAGCACAGGCAGATCCCACCTCCTCTCAGTCAACTGTTCCATTTCCCAACTTCGTGGCATTATATAATCTCTGAGCCATCTGCCAGTAAGATCCCCAACATGGCAACAAAGCAGTTTCAACGTCAGAGAGGCATAATTCCAGCTTCATTTCTGGCACCCTTATTTTAAGCCCATGTCATCTTATTTATGTTCACATGTAACTGCTTTCTAGTTTTTTACCCAATGTAAAATACTCATCTTCCTTTTATAAAAGGTCTTAACATATATATATGTGTACGTATACCGATACAAAAATGCATACATAGTTTGGACTAGCCTGGACAACACAGCAAGACCTTATCTCTATAAAAAATAAAAGAATTAAGTGGGAGTGGTGGCATGCACCTGTATTGCCAGCTACTTGGGAGCCTGAGGTAGGAGGACTGCCTGAGCCCAGGAGGCTGACACTGCGGTGAGCTGTGATCATGCCACTCTGCTCCAGTCTGGCAAACAGAAAAAAAAAAAAAGTATACACACACACACACACACACACACACACACACACCTAAAAGATTTACAATAGCATCTGAAACATTACTCGCTCTTGCCTATTGATTTAATAGATTCCCCTATTAAATCATCTCTAATATAGTTTATTTTAATAGTGTTTCTAAATATTTTCCTCATTGCTAAGTGAAAAAAATATAATTTCTGAAATTTTCTCAACTTAACCTCCTTTCAATGTAGGTAGCTATCTACTCATGCCAAAGCCCATCTAGACAGCCCCCAACTTAAGATGTTTCAACTTACAATATTCTGACTTTACAATGATACAAGGGCAACACACATTCAGTATACTGTGCTACAAGTACCCATACAACCATTTTGTTTTTCACTTTTAGTACAGTATTCAATAAATTATATGAGCTATTCAATACTTTATCATAAAATAGGCTTTGTGTTGGATGGTTCTGTCCAACTGTAGGCTAATGTACATGTGCTATGAGCATGTTTAGAGAAGACTAGGCTAAACCATAATGTTTAGTTATCCAGGTATATTAAATGCATTTTAGACTTACAATATTTTCAACTTACAATGGGTTTATCATAATGTAATCCCACTGTAAGTCAACAAGTATAATTTGAAACTAACAAAAATATAAATTTTCTCAAGATCAGATACTTACACATCAGCCAAAACTATCCGTGTCCGCGTCACATTTTCTATGGTGAATTTGGTTTTTCCACCTTTGCCGGCGATTCTTCCTATTGCCCTCGACAGATGATCTCCTTTTAGGGGTTTAACTAAATGAGAAAAGCAAGAGCTCAGAAGATAAGCCATTCCAATGTACCACCCACTTCCACATAAAGTTTAATCAGCAACTAAATATCCCTACTTAATGAAACTACATATACATTTTGTAACAGTTGCTAATAATACAACTCAACTGATGCTATTAGAAAACTGAGAGTCACAACACAATATAAAGTCAACATTACAGAAGAACAGTATTTCTCAGGAAAAGACCACCACAACACTCACCATCTGTGATTTCAAAAGTCTCTAGGAAGAGGTCATCCAACCTGATGAGAGCAAGTGCATCCTGTAATATGAAAATAAACACTTTGAATCCCCTTCCATGTGGACACCTGAAAATGAGTGAAGTAGAAAGCACTGTGGAATTAAAATTCACAAGCTCTAGAGCTAGAAAGTTCAAATTTTTAAAATATGCCCAATTCATTGAAATATTAACACATTAAATATTTTTCAAGTTCCCATTTTAGATGTCATGAAATCACTCACCTCCACCTGAAACCCGAGAATAAAGGCTTTCACAAAATCAGCTGCTTTTGTCAGAGCACTAACATCCTTGGTGTCTTTACAAGTCTGTCAAAAAAAAAAATGGTAAAAATACACTTGGGAATTAAATAGAAAGTGTTCTAACAAAATACAAGGAATGACCTTTCCCTATATACTTTCCTTCACCACTACCCTTCCTCAACACACTCTATGTCCCATTTTCTGATGAGATAAGTACTGTGTTTCATTTGCAAAATAAAACCGGTTGTCTCAGCTTTGGTCAGTTCCACCCAAAGACTGTGCAATGACTGACTGTATTCTATGACTGATCAGACTCTGGGGCTAACAGTCAGACTCCTCTGGCACAGCCCAACTGCTCACATCTTAAAGAACCTCTATCCTTTGACCATCCCTTCAATGCCCAAGCCTGTTTTCTTCTTCATTAAGGCAGTCTTCTCCTAGAGTCCTGACCTAATCTTCTGACTTCAATTATCATTTATATGCTGATGTTTTCCAAATCAACAACTCCAGCCCTAACTACCTGCATGCCCAGCAGAGGGGGAACCAACAATGATTGAAGCAGGGAACTTGCCCTCAAAGAGTTTGTTAACTGCAGTAATAGCTGCTATTCATAAAATGTCTACAACTGCAAATAACATGCTTCACACTCTGTAGCTCTAATATTCATGACAACCTTGAATGTTAAATGATATGCATACTTCTATGTGTGAGAAAACTAAAGTACCAAAAAGTGAAAAAAGTAAAACTTGAACACAGGTCTGATTCCAAAACTGTTCTTTCTATTCTCCCACACACATTCACAAGCTAGTTGAGACCACATATTTAACAAATTTTAAACCATTTAGTTTTGTGTAATGAAAGTGTCTATCAGCAGAAAGATTCACTTATTAGCATGATTACTCTGACTAAAATACTCAACTTTTTTGACCCTCAGTTTCCTCACATCTCTAGGATGAGATATATCATCTACCTCATAGGGCTGTCCTAAAAACCAAATGAGGTAGTGTATGTCCAAGTACCACTACATGTCTGGTACATGGCAGCACCAACAAATGTTAGTGGAATCCAAATTGATGATCCTGCAAAAATAAAACAGATAACGAAGCACAATAAAAGTTTAGGCACTGAAGAAATGACTGAAAAATGGACTTATCATAAAGGAGAAAAAACTTTGAGCTAGACCCTAAAAGATGACTGGAAATGAAGAAGAAAGAAAAAGGGAATAAGAAATAAAGGGTCAGCGAGCAAAGCTACCAAAAAGTACAGACACAAAGAAATAGAGAAAAACTTGTGAATGGGTCTCTCTTACTTGAAAGGCAGGTTCAGTCAAAAACTTAACTTTTATCCTTAAAAAATGTTGAAGATGCCAGGATATCATAATGAAAGCATTGCAGTCTAGGAAAAATAATCTGGCACTGGCATAGAGGATGGAGCAGAAATAGGAAAGACATAAAACAATGAAGCAAGGGAAATCTACAAGGAAACAATAAGCCTTGTCAGTAACCAGGAAAGCCTAAATGAGTGGCAACATAAGCAAAGAGGAGTTATTCTATCATGTTCCATTGGCAGTTTAAACTTTACTATTTAGAGTAGTGCCTCTCTTTTTTCTATTATTATATTCCATTAACAGAAATGAATCTATACTATTCCTGATCATGGTATAAGAATCCCTGAAAAGGAAATATAATTTTGGTCATTGATTCAAAATTGGTCATTGGTACAAAGTTGGTCCTCAGAAAAGGAAGCTCAAAGTCAATTAATTTTAAATGTCTAATTCCTGAACTGACACCACGTATGTATACATGTGTATGTATATAATTTATATTTATTCTTAAAATATTTTCCCTGCAAAGAATATGATTAAAATAGTCATGCACCTCATACAATATTTTGGTCAATGACCAATGGTATATACAACGGTTGTTCCATAAGACTATAATGGAGCATATGAGGGGGGAACCCCAAAAAACCCGGAATTATCTTTTGGAGGGCAGGCCCCTTGTAATACAGGCTTCCCCTGATAGGTGTTATAGGAGCCCACTGGCATCAGTGTACCAGCTAGTGTTGTTGTGAGAGGCTGTATTCAGCATCAGTTAATTTTTTTTGAGATTCTTTCAATGTGTTTGCCCACTTCATGATTTACAAGTGCACCTGCCCACATGGTGCTGACTGTTCAGCAGTTTTTGACCAAAAATGATATGACCCTCTGTGCCCACCCTCCCATTCTCGTCCCCAGCAACTTTTTTTTGTTTCCCAGACGAAAAATGTCTCCAAAGGGAAACGTTTTGCAAATGTGAAAGAGGTGAAACAAAAAACAGCAGAAGCACTAAAAGGCATCAAAATTGACTAGTTAAAAAACTGCTTTGAGCAGTAGTAAAAGCCATCACAATAGGTGTATGGCGTCAATACAAAGTATTGCAAGAATACCTTGAAGGTGACTGAAATTTAAACATGTAAGAATACACAATTTTTAATAAATAAACTAGGTTTCTTTTGGGTTTCTCCCTCATAAACAGAAACCTGATATATGGCTACACAGCACTTAATGGTGGCATTGCAGATCAAGTACGAGAAATTTTTCCATAAAATAATATATATTTATATAAATACATCGTGTCTAGGTTTGTATACATTCTATGATGTTCACACAACAAAATTGCCTGACAATGCATTTCTCACAACATATCCCTGACGCTGACTGTATATCATTCTTGTAAAGCAGTAAGCACTTATGTTTATTATTTTCATATTTCTATGACAATCTCTTTACAAACATCATAAAAGATATATACAAGCTTAGGCAGTATTTTGGCATGATCTCAGAACCAACTTAAAAATTCAAATATTTCTGTTGAATGGACATTTTGAAGGCATTTGGGAAGTTCAATCGCACCATAATAAACTGTTCATTTTTATTTCGCTCTGTTGCCTAGAGAGGAATGCAGTGGTCCGATTACAGTTCACTATAACCTCAAACTACTGGGCTCAAGCAATCCTCCCCCCTCAGTCTCCCAAGTAGCTAGGACTACAGGTGCACCATCAAGTCTGGCAAATTTTATTTTATTTTTTTGTAGAGACAGAGTCTTGCTATGTTGCTTAGGCTGGTCTCGAACTCCTGGCCTCAAGTGAAACTTCAGCCTTGGCCTCCCAAAGTGCTGGGATTACAGGCTTGCCCTTCACTATGACACATTTTAAAACTAGAAGAAAACCACTTAACGAATAAATTCCATCAAAGAAAGTCTACCCATGCCTTTTCATCTCCCTGGGGAGAGAAAATCTAGTCTATTCACATATAAGATTGACATTCTCCTTACCCTGATTTCTACATTCTTTGATTTCAAATTAAAGCGAATCTGAAGTCCCAAATGTTCTACAATAGGAGTAAATATCTTCATCCAGTTTTCTTTTAATGGTGTATATCTGTTAGCTGGGACTGCAATTTTCCTTGTTTCTTCTTTCCCGCTCTGTAATAAAAGAACACACAACTCAGGAGACGCATGGAAGGACATGGGTGGAGTTGTAAAGTGACAGTTGGTCCACAAAATTGTTTTGCTTCCCTCAACCATACTAGTTAAGGCTCAGAAGAATCACCTCTGTCAAGAGCACAATGGCAGAAGAGCACCCGCAGCTTCAAATCACCCAGAGGCCACCAGCTTGATGCGCCTGGGCCCTTGCCCCGTTCCTGCCCCAGGGTCCCCGCCAGTACCAGGAGCTCGTCCCCGGAGAGGGGCGGAAAGACGGGTCTCTTCGCCGGTCGGGCCTCTTCTGTGTCCATGTGGCCCGCGTCCCCGCCCTCCTGAGCTGCGGACAGCTGCTCAGCCTGTCGTTTCTTCGCCCGCCGGACACGCTTCCGAGTGACCCGGGCGAAGCCTTCCTCAGCCCCGACACTCCGTGCCTGCACCTCCGCCTCCATCTCCAGGAATCTCCAGCCCCGGCCAAGGCTGCAGACTCGAACACGTGCGTCGTGGCACTGCGCAAGCGCGCAGCGCCGGAGTCGCCCTTCGCCGACCAACCACAGGGCTCCTCCCCTTTCGTTGAGAAGGCCCACGCCGGGGCCCTGCGGGATTTGCGGGCGGGGGAGGAGAAGCCTGCTTTGGGGCTGTCCTACGGGATGCCTAATCGTAATGGTTTCCCTCTGGCTCTGAAACTCACAGCGAAAGCATTTTAAAATCTCTAACGTGTATTTTTGCGAAAGGCAGCGGGTAAGTCGTTGCCTAAATTTGTGCCGTCTGTGACAGAACTTGTGCCATCTCGGGAGCGCATCTGGCATTAGTGGAGATGACTAAATCCAATTCGCTACGGCGTCTGGGCGCGGAGTACGGAAAGCGGAAGGGACAAGCAGTTCTTGCTAATGTTTGGAATCCTGTTTCTAGGTGGGTGTTCTGTTCCCGTCTGGGTCAGACGGTTTCTGGAGGTGAAGTCGGCTGGGTCATGTCGGCCTTCGAGAAGCCTCAGATCATCGCCCACATCCAGAAGGGCCTCAACTACACGGTGTTTGACTGTAAGTGGGTGCCCTGCAGCGCCAAATTTGTGACCATGGGCAACTTCGCACGGGGCACCGGCGTCATTCAGCTGTACGAGATCCAGCACGGGGACCTGAAGCTGCTTCGGGAGGTGGGTGCCGGGTCCAGACGACCCACTCCGAGGATCTGGACTGCCGTTGGGGGCGAGCGCGGATCCTGGGGTCTGCATCCCTCTTTGCCAAAGTCTTCGTCCGGCGTCCCCCCAAAGCATAGCTTGAGCCGCTCGCGACAAGAGAAGTTGATGGCGGATTGAGAAATGCTTCCGACTTAAAACCTTTCGAGTCCTGAATTCCCATCGCGGGCTAGTTCATCCGCACCCTGCTGGCCCCTTGCTCCTACCACCCCCAGCGCAGTCCAGCGCGAGGTCTCTGGGAAGTGACGTTAAGATTTCGTGTCTGTTTTGGAGGACCCTTCGGGAAGTTCGCGGTTGTTTGTGGAGAGTCTGATACTAGGCCCATGTTAGCAATGCTTTTTCATGCAAGCAGAGCCGAAGTAGGGACCGGATGCCTGCAGTGAGGTTGAAAGAGATAACCGAATAAGTATCAACTGAATGTCTGGTATTTCCAGGCGTGTTAATGGCAGTGTCCCTGGAGTTTCCAGTCAGGAGAGAGAATTAGCTCAGCAGTAATGGCAGTTTCTCATGGAGTTTCAGGAGAGATAATTAGGTCAACAATAAAGCCAACGGTGCGTAAATACAGTCAATACAAACCGAGATGAGCTGACACAAAGAAACATGGTTCTATGAGAGTAAAAACAGATTTGAGATGGTTAGACACTTAACTAGGCCAAACTAGAAGCAGAGAACGAGGTTTCCAGAGGAAACAGCATATGCGGGAGCTCACTGATGGAACAAAGTTTATATCCTTAAAAACTAGAGGAGCCGAGGAGCAGGCAGGAACCAGCGACTGCAAGATCTTTAGGACATTTAAAGAATGTATACCTTTTTTCTAAGAAAAATGGGACATCACTGAAGAGATTTAAGCAGGGTGTGGCAAAATCAGATGTACAAGTTTTGCAAAGATCACTAGTGAAAGAATTAGAGAGAGGATAATAAGCTTTTTTTGGTGTTGGGAGTCTCACTCTGTTGCTCGGGCTGGAGTGCGATGACACGCTCATGGCCACCGCATCCTCTACCTGTTGGGCTCAGGTGAGCCTTCCGCTTCAGACTTCCAAGTAGCTGGAACTACAGGCACGTGCCACCATGCCCGGCTAATTTTTTGATTTATTGTAAAGACGAGGTCTCACCAAGTTGCCCAGGCTGGTCTTGAACCCGTGAGCTTAGGCAATTCTCTCACCTTGGCCTCCCAAAGTGCTGGAATTATAGGCGTGAATCACCACGCCTGGCCACAAGTAGTATTTTTATAGGTGTTTATAGTTTTTAAAATGTCTTGATTTGGGTTGCCTGAAAAAAATGATCAGTCATAATCAGGTGTTCAGAGTTAATAATAGACTATAAGTACAGCGAAGTTTGCGAACTCCAGGGATCGAAAGCTATGGAGAGAATTCGCTTGGAAGAGATAGGGATTAAACTGGTAGGTAAAGGGTGAGTACAATTTGAATGGACCCAGAATCAAAGATAATAAGGACTCATCCCACTTTAAATTTTCCTGAGTTCCTGTTTTCTTATTTAGTTTGTTTTCTCTAGACAGTCACTCAGAGTAGACAAGCATGGCTTTTTCTTTTCTATCTTGGCTAATGTTGTTCATCTTTTAGCTCTTTTGTCACCTGTGGCTTTTGTGATGTTCAGTTCATATTGTCAACGTATGATACCCTTCCTGAATCTCAGACAGAGTAACTTTTCTTTACACTGCATCCCTATAGTACTTATTATCTGTGCCAGAAGTATAATATTCTGTCCCATTTATCTCTAGATTGTAAGCTCCTGGAGAGTAAGGACAATGCCTTTCTTTAGTGTGGTTTGTAAGGCGCAGCCACTCAATAAATTGTGTGTTAAAACAATGAGTGAACGTATGTCTGTAAATAGGATATAATTTGAGAAATTTAGATACTGATTTTTTTAATCATTAATCAACTTGGGGTCAGTGGTTTGAACAAATGGGAAACACTGGGATCGCAGAAAGAAACTTAAAGGTGAAGTATGGCCAACAAATGCCAACTGAAGTTCAACAAAAGGGCATCTATAGGCATTTGACTTTTTTTTATAGGAACATGCAATTTGTACATGTATCAGGAATGCACTTACCCCATCAAGTGTAATAGTGTTCTTTGTTTCTTCTAGAGACTCTGGGGAATTCTAGCAAATTAAAAATTTTGGTTTTTTAGCAAAAGTAATGTGTGTTCATGATAGAAAATTTAGAAAATATAGATAGGGAAGAGAAGAAAATGTCACTCATAATCTCAATTCCAAGAATAACTACTTTTTGTTATTTTTACCTGGGTCCTTTAGGTCTTCTATTTTTTTTTCCCCATAAATTGTCTACTGAGAACATATTTTTTTAAGGTACTATGTTTGAAAAGGACCAAAGGTATTTGAAAGATGAGTCATTTCTCTTAAAGATTCTACTGTCTAAAAAGAGGGTAAGACAAATATAAAAACACATTTAAGAACTTATATTGTATTTGGCTGTGATGGTGCATTGGAAAATAATATAGGTTAAATACAGGTCCAGTGATTTTCAGCCTTTACTGTGCATCAGGATCACCCGAGTGTATTTTATTGCTACCGCTTTTGTGTGTGCGTGTTTTAAAATACTTCTGCCTTGGTCCCACCCCTGGAAATTCTGTCACAGTAGTACTCTGTTTCCTCTAGACTGGAGTAAGGTGTGGACATCAGTATTTTTTAAAACTTCTGCTAGTTAATTTTTATGTGCACCAGGACTGGGAACCATGGGACTAGGTAGATAATTTATTAAAATATTAGGAAACATACTTGATTCATCATTATAGCACCACCCCAAGTCCATGTACCACAAAGTCTCTGTAGCTAAGAAAAAGAAAATTATAAAGGAAGCATATCAGTCTTTGTTGATGTCTTCCTTATCTCAGCACTAAAAGGATAGGGAGGAAATAGAGGGGCAGATACTCCACGTACAGTCAAGCAGGTCATTGCACCCACCACACAACGCTGGCCGGGTGTTCAAGTAGAAGCTGAAATCTATCTCTTTCCTTCATCAAGACTTGCATGTGTGAGACTTCATCAGCATATTAAGGGCAACTTTTTTCTAATGGGCACAAAGATACCATATGGACTAAGGATGGCCCTGAAAAAGAGAATCACGATTGTGCATGTTCAAATTGTAAAAATTAGCAGTAAGCTAATAGAATTCTGCTTTTTTAGTCCCTGTGCTACTGAATATACTGCTTGTTAGCTTTTGGTTGACTAAATCTTTTAATGTTAATTAAGTAGTGCCAGGATGTGGAGGAGGAAATACTGACAAGCTGTACTAGGCCTACCCACATACAGAACAAAAATAGCTCTCACAGGAATTATTGATCATGGGCTTCTTCAATCATGTTAACATCTTACTTCAGCAAAGAAAACTAACAGGTGAAATACAACCATCATTGATGGTCGTTTTCAGTATCATATAGCAAAAATTATTAATATATATGAATTTTCTTTGTGGAACAGTTTTGGCAAAGTAGAGCTTCATTTTCTTTTTTAACTAATCAGTTCTCTAGCAAGAAAAATTATAAGTTGCCACTGAATTCTTTCCATCTTTTCTTTTCCACAGATAAAATAGTTGACCAGGCATGGTGCTTCATACCTGTAATCTCAGCACTTTGGGAAGGCAATGTGGGAGGATCACTCAGGAGTTTGAGATTAGCGTGGGCAACATAGTGTAACTCTGTCTCTATAAAATAAAAAATTTACCAGGCATGGTTGCATGCACCTGTAGTCCCAGCCACTTGGGAGGCTGAGGCAGGAGGATCGCTTGAGCCCAGGAGTTGGAGGCTGCAGTGAGCTATGATCATGCCACTGCACTTGAGGTTGGGTGATGAAGTGAGACCCTACCTAAAAAAAAAGGAAAAGGAAAAATTAACAGGGACAGAGAGCAAGTCCTTTTGTAAACTATAAGAAATCAGCTTCACTTGTGTCTTCCCTCAATTTAGTTATTACTGTGATTTCCATGAATGTCTGAGGAAAGAGAAAACACGCCTGCTTTTATAAGTCCACTTGCCAGCAGAACTCAGGCTTTGGTTTATATATTTTTGAGTTCAATTTGGTTCTTGCACAGCAGACCATTAGTATCTATAAATCTCTTTGTTTCTCTGATACATGAAGAGAAAGAACAAGAGGGAAGCATAATACCATATACTTATAACTTGTAAAGATATGAATGAAGGTAAAAATTAGAGGACAGAAATCTGAAAGTAAATTTAATTTATGCCTGTACCATTTATCTCATCAATGAATCCATTTTAGAATTCAGATGTTTCTTCAGTATGTCTGATGACCCTTAAGTTTACAGAATGGGGGATACATAATAAAATGTTTATTTAATTCATTTATATACAGGCCTGGGAGCAGTCTAGTTCGGTAGAAAAAGCTTGGAGTCTATCTGGCTCTTGAGACCTTAGGCAAGTTACTCAGTCTTCTGAATCTGTTTCCTCATCTTGAAAGTGGTGTTCCCAACACACAGTTTGAAGTGTTATGTGGGTCAGAAGGAGAAGGGATGGTCCAGTCTGGAAGAACCTCAAGAACAATATCTGATATATAGGTGTTCACTAGATAGAAGCTATTTTCATAATTGCCTATAAATGATGCCGGACAGTTTGTCAGAACCCAACCACATGAAAACATAGTGGGAGAAAAGTGAAAAAAAGGAAAGAAAACTCCCCAGCACTGGAGCTGAGAGATTAATGATGTTCATTCATCATCTGTTGAGCACCTACTAGATGTTAAATAAGACCTACTTTCATGGTGCTCACTTTCTAGAAAGGGAAGAGATCATTAATTGTATGAATAAAATAATTGTGTTGGTAAGTGCAATAAAGAAGACCAAACAGGGCAAATGATAAGATTTGGGATTTCCACTTCATATTGAAGGGGCAGGTAAAGCCTCTGAGGTTGTGGCATTTGAACAGAACTCTGAATGAAGAGTATCGAAGCATGGTGATCTGGGGGACGATCAGTCCAGGCAGTAGGTATAGCAAACAGAAATGCCATGAGGTGGAAAAGACATCTGTGAGTCTGAAGGGAAAAAGAGGAAGCTGACTGCTGTGACTGGAGTGAGAAAGAAGAGGAGGAGTAGGAAATGGAGTCAGAGAGATGGGCCAGGCCAGATTTCCCAGGGCTTTGTACATTTTGTGTACCACAGGCCTCAATAGCACTCCTGTGAGTCTGTACCTTTCAATGGAGATACATTTTACATCTTTCCCTTATATTTGTAATAAAGACACACTTACAGAAACCATGCAGTGACAAATGTAAAAACATCTAGTACAGGGCCTGTCATGTAATAGGTTGGTTCTCAGTTTGATCTCTTTCCTTTGAAGGTACTACAATAAGTACTCCAATATTTCATGGTGTTTCAAAAACAGCACTACAATGTGCAGATTCTGATAGCTGCATTCTTAGACACATGCAGCTATCAGAGAATCTGCACATTGTAGTGCTGTTTTTGAAACACCATGAAATATTGGAGTACTTAGTTCCATCTCTGCACAAGGAAATGTTTTTCAGCAGAAAAATCTGATGATATGTTTCTGATCTTTATATCACAAGAAGTAACCACACAATTTATTAAAAGCTCCATTTCCAGATTTTCTTATTGGTGTTCATTTGGTACTGTTTTCTACTAGGCAAGCTGAAAAAAATATTTGAAGAAAACTTTAAAATTTGAGAACATCCATTGACTTTTGTTTTTGGTGAATTTTCTAATTCGTGCATAATTTTATGTTAGTACTAGAAGATCAGTGTGTTCGAGGAGCATAATTTGAGATTCTCTATTCTAAAGGGTCAAAAAGTAAAAGTCAGATAAAGGAATAACAGGAAATTTTTCAATTCTTTATTATCAGCAGCAAAATCCTGGAAGAGCTATGTGTTTACTATAGGGACTGAAAAGTAGAAGTTAGTTTTTACCTATTCCATAGCCTAGGAAAAAGAGAAACTCTCAGCAGGGGCTACAGATGATAGCAATGGAAGTACAGGGAATCAGTGCTCCAGCTAGTGGAGGAGAAAATGGGCAACTAGTCTTCTGGTGATTCTCAGAAGTATTTTCCCAAGGGTTGGATCAGTAGATCTTGACAGCTCCTCTGCACCTGTAATTCCCCAAATCTCCTGGAACCACATTCCTGTCCATCAGGCTTCTTACCTCAGAGGCCTACCTTCACCCTCTGCCTCAGAACGATGCAGGCCCAGTATAAGGCAAACAGAGTGGAGGGATGGGTAGCCGTTTCATCAGTTGGCTTAGGTTGGAACTCTGAATTAATTTCACCATAGGAATTGTGTCCTAGTAGTGATTAAGTGGCTTACCACTATTGATATATTAATTCAGGTACTGTTATTTGGGGAGAGGGAAAAAAGGAGGAGAACTTTAGTGGACTGGAGTTGGAAACTGTTTTGTTATGTTGACAAAATTTTGATTCTCTGTGATACCCCATTTTAGGGTACTTTTCTTCTTTTCTTTTTTTGAGTTGGTGTCTTACTCTGTCGCCCAGACTGGAGTGCAGTGGCACGCTCCTGACCACCGCAGTCTCCACCTGCTGGGCTCTGGCGATCCTTCCGCCTCAGCCTTCCAAGTAGCTGGAACTACAGGTGCGCGCTACCGCGCCCGGCTAATTTTTTGATTTATTGTAGAGATGAGGTCTTGCCAAGTTGCCCAGGCGGGTCTCAAACCCGCGGGCTCAGGTAATCCACTCACCTCAGCCTCCCAAGGCGCGGGATTACAGGCTGAGCCACCGAGCCCAGGTAGGATACTCTTTTTCATTAAAAGGGAACATAACTGAAATAAATGAGTATTAACTTTCTGATGCGGTGGATAACTGATGTCATCTCAGATCACCTATGTATCAGAAAGAAAAACATTCTATGGGTCTGTGCTTCTTCTCAATGTGGTCTTTTACAATCATGTTTCTGTAGATGTCTGATTTCATTTACTAGACAATTTCAAGGATGCTGTGAACGCTTTATTTACTTTTAGACTTGACTATGCGGTAACTGCAAATTTATCCAGACCCCAAACAATGAGACGATTAAACAATCTGAGAGTTTCCAAAACCCTAGAGTGTATAATGTTACCTTTTAATTCAGAGTAAAAAGTTTTAGTTATAATTTGTGTTAGGTGAGTTTTATTTTCTTCTTTGAAAATTGCTGTGTATCCATGCCACGTGCGGTGGCTCATACCTGTAGTCCCAGCACTTTGGGAGGCAGAGGCAAGAGGATTGCCTGAGCCCAGGAGTTTGAGACCAGCTTGGGCAACTTGGTGAGACCTCATCTCTACAATAAATAAAAAAATTAGCCAGCTACCTAGGAGACTGAGGCAGAAGAATTACTTGAGCCCAGCAGGTCGAGGTTGAGCATGACACTGTAACTCCAGCCTGGGCCACAGAGTGAGACCCTGACTCAAAAAAAGAAAAAAGAAAAAAGAAAGTTGCTGTGTATCCTTATATGAATAATATACCCTATATGGAAATGCCCAGCTAAACTGGGAAAGTCTCAGGGAAATTTTTTAAAAATTATTTGAAACAGGCCTACCTGTGAGGGATGCATGTTGGTATATTGGCCCAGGAACTGAAGGGTTACAAGGGGAGATGCCCTGGAAACTGGAGAACCCTGCAGAGGGAAAATAGTGTATTCAGATAGCATATTGTTACATGGAACAAGTCAAGTCAAAGAACAGTGTCCTTTGAACTCCCTGTATTAAAATGAACCTCTGTGTGTTTGTAGATGTATAGAGGGTCTAGAAGGATGAGGATTACTTCTGAGAAGTGTTAAAGGGACTCACTCTTCCCCTTCCATTCTTTTGTTTGAATTTTTATAGGGAACATGCATTACTTTTGTAAACTTTAATAATTTAAAAATGTAAAGATTGTAAGAGACTAAATAAGAGTCTGACAATCGTGGGAGGTGTTATAACTATAATTGGGCAATAGTGTGATTTAGGACAGGCATCAGCAGTAGCCTCATCTAATTCCAGATTCTGTTAATAGAGTTTTTAGGGACAAAGGGCAACAGGAAACCTAGACTTCCTAGGCTCTAGGAAGGACTTCAGTGACCTGGGCAGGTAGAGTTGGGGTGAGAGGGCCAATGGAGAAATTGGGAACATCAGGAAATAAAAGATTAATGGAAGACCCAGGGAGGTGTGAGAGTAGGTAGGAGTAATGAATATGTGTATGTGGGAGGAGCCAGATTGAAACTGATATTTGGGTTGTAAACTTTTTGAGGGAATGGTCAATCTCATTCATCTTTGTATCTCTTTTGCCTAGTTCAGTGACTTGCATGTAGTAGGAACTCATTAAATATTGAATCTTGCATGAGTTGGGCAAATCTGTAAAGCTCTAGGCTTCAGTCTCCGATGACAGGAGGATATTGTATTAGATCATTTTTGAGGTCCTTTTGGGATGTCTACTTTTCTTCACCTGATTTCCATAAGGCCCCATATCTTAAATAGTGCATTGGTATGTGTTATTTTCTAATGTGGTTATGTACAATATTTGGAGCAGTAGCTTTTTAAATTAAAGCAACTTCAAAAGATTAGCTACTACTAGTAGTAATGCCTTTGTACACACACTGGTTTATAAATGTCTATGCACTAAAAAACTCCCAGAGAAAGTGGGACATAAACATCTCAGTTTATAGGACTCTATAGGGAAAGCTATAAGAGACACATAAACGTTTTGTTCCTGTTGCCATCTGGAAAGAATAATATCTTCATTATGTTCTCATTTCTACTGAGGATCTTAAATAATATCACGTTAAATGCCAAGACGTTCATATTCTCAAACCAGTGGAGATGGTAGAGTTGTCAGCATTTGAATGTCTCATTAGTGAGATGAGAAGCAAGGCAAATTAAAACTTTTTCTTTTTGACAGTTACATACTTTTGAACTAAAGAAAGATGACTAAAAGAAAAGCATGATCATTTTAATCTGAAAATGTTTTAATTGCTTTTTATATTGTGTCTTATTTAAATCGCACAATAGAGTCATAAACATTGTGAATTAGAAATACCTGCTTACTTAAATAATGTATTCTCTCTTCTTCCTTTTTATCAAGATTGAAAAGGCCAAACCCATTAAATGTGGAACATTTGGTGCCACATCTTTACAACAGAGATATTTAGCTACTGGAGATTTTGGTGGAAACCTTCACATATGGTAAGATTATTTAATTAGTATTCAGGCAGGTGAAATAAGGAATGTCTTCAATAGTCTTATTATTCTTTTTCTTAAAGAGAGAACTCTAATTTTAAAATGTTGCTTTCCATGTTCAATTTTATCTATAAAAATATGAAAAAATATATAATATATACTTCCAGATTTCATGTATAAACTCCATTAAAAATACTAATCTATTTTTCTTTAGTATTTTGGATAATGCTATCAATACTTATTTTCGCATATGGTGCTTAGTGCTGGCATTTAAGTCCTCGTATTTGTAGAGGTCTATTCCCCCTTCTACTTCAAGGAAACGGTATATAAAAAGGCACATGTATGTCAATGAAGAATTAGATATTAATTGTTTACATCCAGCAAGATTCTTGACATTAGAGAATGATACACTGAGTTTTTGATGGTTTTAATTTTTTAATGTAGACTCTCAATTCATTTAAAGTTTGATTTTGTTTTGTTTTGTTTGATGCTTTAACGTCTAAGCACAACACAATTTTTCTAAGCACAACTGTTCAGGAAGATATCTGTTGAATACTTCAACATAAAACTGTTTTGAATGAGCAAAATCACAATTGTGCCAAATGCCTTCTTTAATTTTTTAATCAGAAAATTTTTAAGACAGATACTCTATCAGTCTGGAGGGCAGTAGCTCCATCACAGCTACTGCAGCCTTGACCTGTTAAACTCAGGTGATCCTTCTGCCTCAGTCTTCCAAGTAGCTGGAACTATAAGCGTGTGCCACCATGCCTGGCTAATTTTTTTATGTATTGTAAAGACAAGATCTCGCCATGTTTCCCAGGCTGGTCTTAAACTTCTGGCGTCAGGCAATCCTTTTGCCGTGGCCTCCTAAAATGCTGGGATTACAGGCATGAGCCACTGTGTTCAGCCTCCAAATTCCTTTAATTTTCATGTTTTACCTAGAGTTGTTTGTTCGTATTTTGAGTTGAATGAATTTAAATTTCTCTTTAATTATTTTCCAGGAGAGTTTATTATTTTAATCATAAAATATACAGAAATGTTCTAGAAAGTTCTTTTAAAAGTTCTAGAAATTTCTAAAAAATTAACTTCCCTACGGTATGTTTCCTAATAATGTGATGGTGAATCAGTGTGTTCTATGTAATTTTAAAATGTGTTAAAATGGAAATCTCAATGCAACAGTACATCTTCTCTATATAAAAATCCCGTTTTTGATTCTCACTTAGAATCTGCTACTTTATAATTAAATTACTTTGATGTATTTATCTGTCTTAGACTCTTAATGAAAAACAGAATGAAACTATTTTAATTTCTCCTTGCCTTAACTGCTGAATAATTAAATTAGCATTTATTCATTAGTTCTCATGTGCTATGTCAGACACATTCAGAAAAATTGGGAGAGAGGCCAGTCTGAATGTTAGTTTTTTACAATAAATGTATGTCATCACAAGAATATGAAGCAAATGTAACTATTGACCATCTTCTTAATTACAGTTCTCTAGTATAGTACAAATATTACCAACTTATTTTAATTGATAAGTCTTGTCATTTTATGTTAAAAAAAATAATGCTTTAAGTCTGTGTATTCTCTTGATTCTTTCATAATGATGGTACAAAGATAAAAGTTGTCTCTAAATAAAAAAAATCTCAAACTTTTATTAGTGAGATTTTGCTAATAAATCTTGGCCTAGTAATTGGGATTGTATTTCATGTATAGTCATTCCTTTTTTAAAAAGTAAAAGTTATTAAAAACTGAATTATTAAAAACAGAAGCTGTTATAGAAAAGCAAAAGAAAAGGGGGAAAGGGAGGAAAAGGGCAAGAAAAGGAATGTATGAGGTCAGCCTAGTTGAGGTATTCATCACCAGTTGTCTAGTGCAGACTCAAGCACACATGGTAATCTGTACTTTCCTGAATGCTTTTCTCTGTACTGATCTTGAATTAGACAAGCTTCAGCCAGGCTGGCTGTAATATTTATTGTGACCAGTATGATGATACATTGAAAAATATGTCAGTAGATGAAATTCAGTGTGGAATTTAATAGAAAAATAAAATAAAGGAAGAAATATATACAAAGTAAACATAACCCATATTTTCTCCTTTAAAAAGATCTCAGGATCAAACTACCAAAACTTACTTCGGAAGAATTCTAAATCACATTGAGTTTACTCTATTTAAAGCAATGGTTATCAGGCTTCAGTGTAACAGATAATCAACAGATTTGGGGACCCATCTGAGATTCTGATTCATTATGTCTTTATAGATCTTTGAGGCAGCTGACAATATAATGTGGGTGGCAGTTTCAGTCTGTGAATCTTCGTTTATTAACAAACACCCTGATAATTCATATGTGGAGGTCCTAGATAGGTCATCTTTAAAGAACACTAAGTAAGGTGGGCTCAGGAGATTGAATTCCAAGCTGAATGATGACAGTCCTCACTGGGGTCTTGAAAGAAGCTGAAGTAGAGAGAAAAATTGAGAAGTAAATGTCTAAATTACCTTCATAGTAAAACCATTATTATTATTATTATTATTTTAACCCTTAATTTTAAGCAGAAATCTAAGTATGGTATGCACTCTTAAATTTTAGTAGTGGCCTAGAATGGGACAGGTAGTGTAAGTAAGAAGTTGTATTTGTTGTTTAGGAATTTGGAAGCTCCAGAGGTGCCAGTGTATTCTGTAAAGGGCCATAAAGAAATTATAAATACCATAGATGGTATTGGTGGACTAGGAATTGGAGAAGGAGCACCCGAAATTGTGACTGGCAGCCGAGATGGTGAGTCAGTACGTTCTATGTACTTTTTAAATGTTTTAAAATGGAAATTTCAATGCAGTACATCTTCTCTATGTAAAAATCTCCTTCAGTCATCTTGACCCCCTAAATATAACAATCTTGCTGCTATTCCTTTAATAAGCAAGTTTGATTGTATAGCCCTCAGTTATTTCAGGTTTTTGGGTATTTTGAGATAGAGGCATAGCACTACTATTTTAGTGTTGAGCTAGTTCAACTACTTACAATGATTGTTTCCTCTGAACTTTGAAGAATTTAAAATGTCTTTGTAGGTTTTTGAAGCAACTGATGATATAATGTAGGTGGCAGCTTTTCATTTTCCTTTTTGAAAAAGCAGAATTAGTACTTGTGAAAATTGTCATATTGACAGCTGGTTGAACGCTAACGTTCTGTGAACCATGCACTGAGCATTGTGGAGGATTCCAGCGTCACCAGCTCAGCCCTTCCACCCTTCATTGACTAACATGGGACAGGTCTTTTGGTGTCTAAAGCCATTCTGAGTAACTCTAACAAAGTCAGAATTTTGTTGCTTCAAAAGAGTTGCATGAGAGATTTGGTACCTTAATTGATTTGGCTATTTTCTTAATAGCTGCTCAAGACCATGAAGAAATTGTTTTTTTTTTTTTTTTAAAGATGTGTGGTACAATTCAGGATTAGGTATACAAGTAGTCATCATATAGGTAAAGTTGGGCCTCCCTTTGGTCCCCAGAGAAGATTGTTTTAAAAGAAAAGTAAAATGTAAGAGAGTTGATCTCATAGAAGTAGAAAGTAGAATGGTGGTTACCAGAGGCTAGGTAGGCAAGTTGGGAGGGATATGAAGAGAGATTGCTCAAGAAATACAAAGTTAGTTACATAAGAGGAAAAAATTCCTGTGTTCTATTGCACAGTAGGAGGAGCATGGTCAACAGTATTGTATTGTGTATTTCAAAATAACTAGAAGAGAGGATTTTGAGTGTTTCACTACAAAGAAATAATAAATGTATGAAATTATTGATAGGATGATTACCCTGAATAGATCAAATTACAATGTATACATGTATTGAAACGTCCTAACGCACCATATAAAAATAAAATCATTATGCATCAATTAAAAATAAAGTTTAAAGTAAAAAATGGGATGTAATTTTCTTTTTTTTTTTTTGAGTTGGAGTCTCACTCTGTCGCCCAGACTGGAGTGCAGTGGCTGCTCCCGGCCACAGCAGCCTTGACCTGCTGGGCTCCGGTGATCCTTCCGCCTCAGCCTTCCAAGTAGCCGGAACTACAGGCACGCGCTACCACGCCCGGCTGATTTTTTGATTTATTGTAGAGATGAGGTCTCATTGCCCAGGCGGGTCTCGAACCCATGGGCTCAGGCAGGGATGTAATTTTCTAATAGATTCTCAAGAGCAGCTGTGTTTTAGAAATCACTTTTTTTAAAATCATAAAAGCAGTATGTATATAGAAGGAAAAGTAACATTCAATCTGTCACACTGCCACAACCATTAGATTTTTCTTTTTCTTTCTTGTCTTATATATAATTTTTCATAGTTATCAGTGTGAATATCAATTTGTATCTTAATATTTTGTCATATGCAAATGTTGCCGTTTCCATATACTTTTCATAATTATTATTTTAGTGAGTATATAGTATCATATAGCTACACTTAATAATAAGCATTCAGTTTGCTTTTAAGTTTATTGTTTTGGGAGAGTGGCTTAAAAATAGTGAAGAAATGAGTATTGTCATGTATGTACTCTTTTGGAATAAACTTATTTTATGATTCTTAAAATTAATTGGTAAACTTTCAAAGGTACTCTTTTACATTGTCAGCTGCAATGAATGGGGTAGATTTCCAATTTCCCCTGCCAGTGTTGACTCCTCCCTTATAGATAAAAATGATTTACCATTCCATCTTGTGTTAACTTCTTTCTGTGTTTGTTTGCTAGTTAATCCTGTTTTATGAATTGTCTGTGTTCTTTGCTTATTAACTGTTGCAAACTTACTATAAATATTATCAAGTTGTATAAATTCTATAGGATAAGAGAATAACCTCTTATCACATTTGTGGGAAATTTTTTTTTCTTTCTTTCTTTTTTTTTCTGAGTCAGAGTCTCACTTTGTTGCCCAGGCTGGAATGAAGTGGTATACTCATGGCCACCACAGCCTCCACCTGCTGGGCTCAGGCAATCCTTCCGCCTTGGCCTTCCAAATAGCTGTAACTACAGGTGTGCACTACCTTGCCCAGCTTATTTTTTGATTTATTGTAGAGAAGAGGTCTTGCCAAGTTGCCTAGGCTGGTCTCGAACCCCTGGGCTCAGGCAGTCCTCTTTCCTCGGCCTCCCAAAGTGCTGAGATTATAGGCATGAGCCACTGTACCCAGCCAGTTATTACTTTTAAGGATGTTTTGCTTCTTTCCTATTGTCTCTCAAGTATTTGCCTTTTAGCCACTTTATTACATGCATTTATTTGCTTTTCTTGTAGGTAGTGGCACTATTTAATTAGTAGTCCCATAACATGAATTAAGACAATAGGGTGGAAGTTAAATTGAGAGTAATTATTTGTTAATTTTATCTAATATTTTCCTCTTTATTATTGCCATAGGAAAATAAAACTTAATTTTATATGGAATAGTATCCATATAAAATGCCATATTAAAAAGTCATTAATTCAAAATTAGAGTTTACTCATGCCAGTGGTTTAATGAGTAGTAAGGAAGAAAAAATTAAAACAACTCTGGTATTATTCCTAATAAGTAACGCATTAGTTTTATATCATGATTTGAATTTCATAACATTTGTGTTTGCCTTGTTAGTCAAAACTTGTAGATATCTTAGGAACAGTTGTTGGTTTCTCTGTGTATTTGTTAATTTGGAAATCATGCCATACAGTAACATGGGTTATGTCTTTGATATCAAATATAACTTAACATTTAGAAGTCGGAAAAATGTGAATATTTTTCAGCTGTCATAACATCTATAGTATTGCCATATACGTAGGAAACCCTAAAACGCAGAAAAGAAACACGATCATTCACTGTTGAATTTTGCCAATTCACGTTTATTCATGACAGGAACTGTGAAGGTGTGGGACCCAAGGCAAAAAGAGGATCCAGTTGCTAATATGGAGCCCGTACAAGGAGAAAACAAGAGAGACTGTTGGACTGTGGCATTTGGTGAGTAACTGAAGAGTTCTTGCATTTGAAGAATCAGGTTGTAAAAAAACACAGTGCTTCAAGAAATTCCTGATAGTCTCTTTGTGGTCTGTTTGATGGACTATTCTGAGAGTTCATTGAGGCAGATATACATGGTGGGGAATGTCAGCCTCTGGGACCTGGGTTTGAATCCTCACTTGCTACTCATTGGCTGTGTGACCTGGGACAAGTTATCAAAGTTCTCTGTTCCTTGGTTGCTTCATTTATAAAATAGAACTAATAATATAATTTATTAGTAATGTTGTTTTGGGGATTACACAAGTTAAAGTGCTGAGAATTTTGCTTAGATTATGAAATGCTCAAAAATATTTATTATGATTATGTTTCTGCTTAATAAAATAATATTGACCTAGTTTAGAACCAAATGCCATCAATGGGGCTAAGCAGAGCCTCAAATGCAATAGTAACCTAACAAATCTTTAATTATACTTAACACAGAGTATGTTTGTTTTCTAGAAAATAGTTTGCCATTACAAAATTATTACTTATAAATTGGGTAACTGTGTTCTTTTATTAATATACTTAAGATGAATGTTGATTTTGTAGGACTAATTGATTTTTACCCTTTTAATCTCTTGGTGAGCACCAAAATTAAATTAATTTTTGCTACTAAAGGATGTAGGCCATATACAACAGGAATTAAAAGTGGAATTTAATGTATACATGAACTGTTTAACTTTTTATGTTATTCTTAAATTGAAACTGTTACTTAATCAGAGGAAAGTTATAGATTTCCAATTTTTAAAGGAATTATTATACAAGAATTACTATGTATTTTTATACTATGAGCAATAATATATACTTAAGATACATGCATTTGTAGAGAAATGTCAGGATTGGTGTTTAGAATGATCTTTTTTTTTGAGTTGGAATCTTACTCTGTCGCCCAGGTTGGAGTGCAATGGCACGCTCGCAGCCACTGCAGTCTCAACCTGCTGGGCTCAGGCGATCCTTCCATCTCAGCCTTTCTTTTATTTATTTATTTTTTTTTGAGTTGGAGTCTCACTCTGTCACCCAGACTGGAGTGCAGTGGCCGCTCCTGGCCACTGCAGCCTCGACCTGCTGGGCTCCGGTGATCCTTCCACCTCGGCCTTCCGAGTAGCCAGAATTACAGGCATGCGCTACCACACCCGGCTGATTTTTTTTGATTTATTGTAGAGATGAGGTCTCGCTGCCCAGGCGCATCTCAGCCTTTCAAGTGACTGGAACTACAGACACGTGTCACCACACCCGGCTAATTTTTTGATTTATTGTAGAGACGAGGTCTCGCCATGTTGCTTAGGCTAGTCTCGAACCCCTGAGCTCAGGCAATCCTCTCGCCTCTGCCTCCCAAAGTGCTGGGATTACAGGCATGAGCCACCGCGCCCGACTTGATCATTTTAAAATTGGTATCATAACTTAAAACTTAGTGTCTTTGGATCCAGTAAAGTCTCTATATTGTTAATCTCCGGGATGTAAGTGCAATCTGAAATATAGGACATTAAGTTAAAAGAAAATTTATCCATTGATTTGTCAATTTTTTTTAGTGAATTCCAAGTTATATGCAAGGTATCGTGGCATGCAAAGTTAAAACAGACTCATATTTTAGCTGCAATAAACTTATAGTTTAGTAAAGAGGGCATATATAGGTTAATTATAGTAAAAGCCTGGTGTGGTAGCTCACGCCTATAATCTGAGCACTTTGGGAGGCTGAGATGAGAGGATTGCTTGAGCCCAGGAGTTCAAATCAGATTAGACAACACAGTGAGACTTTATCTTTTCAAAAAAATAGAAAAATTAGCCAGGTGTGGTGGCCCGTGCCTGTAGTCTCTGCTACTCAGGAAGCTGAGGCAAAAGGATTACTGAGCCCAGGGGATCGAGTCTGCAGTAAATTGTGATTGCACCACTGCATTTCATCTTGGGTGACAGAGTGAGACCCTGATTCAAAAAAAAAAAAAAAAAAGTTATAGTACAAGATAGGAGTGTTGGGTCACCAGAGGCATGGATAAAATGTAGAAGGAATCAAGAGAGACAGATGACTGGAGAGGAAGAACATTTTGAACCAAGACGAAAGATACTTAGGATTTCAACTACTAAAATTGGAAGGAAATTTCAAGCATAAAGAATAACTTGAAAGTGTCCAAGAAAGTACAGTTGTCCCTCTGTATCTATGGGGGATGGGTTCCAGGACCTCCCTCAGATATTAAAATACACGGATGCCTAAGTCTCATATAAAATTGTGTTGTATTTGCATGTAAACTATGCATATCCTCTTGTATATTTTAAACCATTTCTAGATTTCTTAAAATACCTAATACAATGTAAATGCTGTGTAAATAGTTGTTATACTGTATCATTTTGGGAATAATGACAAGAAAAAGTCTGTACATGTTCAGTTCAGATGCCCTTTTTTTTCAAATATTTTTGATCTGTAGTTGGTTGGATGCAGAACCCACAGATATGGAGGGTTGACTATATGTAGGAGGGAATAGTGGCAGGAATAGCCTTAGAGTACCACAACCAGAGGTTTTTGAAGGTCTGGAGGTAGTTGTAAACTTTTAAAGGCTTTTGCAAGGAAGAGATGTGACCTGGTAATGTGTAGTGGGAGAGATGAGTGGCATAGGGGATATGGGTTCAGGAGTTCTTGGCAATATTCCAGGTCAGACCCAGGCTAGAAGCAATGCAAATGAAGCAGAGTGGATGAATCAGAAGATACTATTGTGGCAGAATACATAGAATTTGGCAATTTTGGGGACAGGAGAATAAAGAGAAGGATTATGTCCAAGATGCCTGAGTTTCGAGGCTGATTGTGCAGTGATTGATGTTATTCATTGAAAGTGTTCCACAAGAGGTGGGATCGTTTGTAAGGGAAGATGGTGAGGTCAGTTTGGGACATGTTAAGATGCTGGCGTACCACCTATGTGGAGCCTACCCAGAAATAAATGTAGGGCTGGGGTTTAGGAGAAAGAAGAATTTGGAGGCAGTAGAGAATGAAGGCATTGGGATAAGATGCCCAGACAGCCTAGCACGGTGACAGGGGCCTCCGTCTCACTTAACACTCTTTCCTCAGCAAGAGATACTCAGGGAAAAAAAGTCTCTGGATTCCAGCAGGATGAATTCAACTACAGATCATAAACTCACCTCAGGTTTGATCATTCATACAACTAAACATATGTCATAGTATACCACAGCTTAGTTCATGCTTTTTGCAAGACAAAATCACTCCAGAACAACATTTTACAAAAACAAATATTTTAAAATATCTTCTGTTTGCGTCAAACACAGTTACTGCCAAAGAAGGCAGTAGAAGCATAGCTGTATTTATCCTCCCAGACTCTACTAAGTTTGAACTGTAGTTGACCTGCTAGTCTTTGCAGAAATAGTGTAGAGAGAGCATTTTCTTTCTTTCTTTTTTTCTTACATTAGAAAATATAATTTGCTTAGAAAGTAAATTAGAGAGAAAGAGGGGATTCACCTCCTCAAGGTAGGGAAGAGGGCCAAAACCAGGAAACACGGTGACAGTCATAGCTCAAAGAGCACATGGCCACACCAGAGTCTAGCGAGGTGATGGTGGTGATGGTCTGGCAACAGCCCATTTTTTTCAATGTAAAGTCCAATAAACACTTTCGTTTTTTTTTTTTTGAGTTGGAGTCTCACCCTGTCACCCAGGCTGGAGTACAGTGACACGCTCACGGCTACCTCAGTGTTGACCAGCTAGACTCCGGCAATCCTTCCCCCTCAGCCTTCCAAGTAGCCAAACTACAGACACGCACTATTACACCTGGCTAATTTTTTATTGGTTGTAGAGACGAAGTCTCACCAAGTAACCCACGGGCTCAGGCAATCCTCTCATCTCAGCCTCCAAAAGTGCAGGCTTGAGCCACCACGTCCAGCCAATAAATACTTTCACATATCCCTTTAGTATAGAATTTTAATGATTGAGCTTTAAAATAAAATAGATACCAAATTAAAAACCTTGATGTCCTATTAGGATTGATAAAATGAGAATCTACCCAATGATATTTTAAAAATCCAGTTTGATATAAGTTATATGTGTAGCTTCATACGTTTTTATCAGGCTTTAAATGAACATTTATAAGGATATGAAATGTTGTATCTTGATTTCCAGGCAATGCTTATAATCAAGAGGAGCGTGTTGTTTGTGCTGGCTACGACAATGGGGATATCAAACTGTTTGATCTCAGAAATATGGCATTACGGTGGGAGACAAACATAAAAAATGGGGTAATGTACATTCTGATGCTTTCTTGTTTCTCTGAGCATGTTTTCATCCACCTCTGAATTGCTGCAAAAGGAAAGCACCTTTATTAACTCATCTCGGTCAACCTCTCTGCCAATAGTTCTTAACCTTTTGGGACCAGACCCCTTTGAGTATCTACTGGAAATCATAGATCCCCTCTTCAGAAAGTGAACACACACCCACATATGATATATACAAAGCCTAGGGAGTTACCAGCCTCTGAGGCCCATCTGTAGACCCCATCTGCCATCTGTATGATAAGGCCTTTTTTTCTGCTAATATCAGAAAGCCTGAAATAGTAATCGCCTCCCCATGTACCATCGGATTTTTGGCTTCTAAATTGTGCATCCTTAGTGAAGAATGTAGTTCCCTCCTGTTTTCTAAAGTCAGCTCTGGCTTAATTGTGTTAAATCATGTAAAAAGTTAAATATTCCAAATGTATCCACTGAGCTTGGGAACACAAGATGGTTTTGCTGACCTTCCTAACAAAGGAGAAAATGTTTAATAGTAAAAATAATATATTAATTCAAAGATAAAATGCTTAAGTGCTTTCACATGGTCTACTCATTTTAAAGCTGTTTTATTTAGGTTAAAAGAGCCTCCTAAATAATAATGGTAAGACTATCAATATAAATATTCTGTTTTTAGGTATGTAGCTTGGAGTTTGACAGAAAAGACATAAGTATGAATAAATTAGTAGCCACATCTCTGGAAGGAAAATTCCATGTTTTTGACATGAGAACACAGCATCCAACCAAAGGTTTTGCCTCTGTTTCAGAAAAGGTAAATATGAGGGAAATGTCTTTCTGTGAAAAGGACTGATAGCTTGTTTTAGACTAATAAATAGAATTAGTCACCAAGGTTCCTTCAAGGTCTTTATGGAAAGGGAGCTATTTTTGATATATTATCGTCAGATCTTGACAAGTTTTTCTGTGCAAAGAGTACTTTCCCAAAGTTTATCAACTCTAGAGTTCTTGATTATAATGAAGAAGGTAGAAATCTTATTTTGTAGTTCAGGAGCAATTACAAAACCTAGCTAATGTTAAGAATTTGTTCAAAAAAACCTAACCCAGTATTTTCTGATAAATACATAATATTCATATCAACACCTAATTATATACTTTTCAAAATACATCAACATATATAATATTTTATGACATTTTATTTTATATTCCAGTTTGTTTTATTAAATGAAATTATTTAAAGCGCTGATTACTGTGATTAGTACTTAGTAGATGTTCCAAAATAGCCTGTATACTTTACCTTGCATTTTAGGTAGCTGAGAGGGAAACGTATTACATCATTAGAAAAACAGGAGAGGAAAGCAGGGCAAAGGGAAAATACTGATTAAAAAATATAATGTCTAGAGCTGGATGTGATGGCTTATGCCTGAAATCCCAGCACTTTGGGAAACTGAGGCAAGAGGATTGCCAGAGCTCAGGAATTTAAGATTATCATTGGCAACATGGTAAGACCTCGTTTCTCCAATAAATCAAAAGATTTGCCTGGAAAGCCGAGGTAGAAGGATTACTTGAACCCAGCAGGTCGAGGCTGTGGTAGTCATGATTATGCCACTGCACTCCTGCCTGAGTGAAAGATGAGACTCCTACTCAAAACACACACACACACACACACACACACACACACACACACACACACACACACACACACGTATATATAAAATATCTAGAGTGGGGGATTACAGAAAATTCATGCTGAAATGTCATTTGCAAGAAATGGATTGGAAATGTGACTCGAGCTTCGTTGAATATAAAAAGAAAGAAATATCAGTTATAGATTCATAGTTTTCATAAGATTAAAATGTGCAAGGTGCCAGGCTCGGGGCTCAGCCTATAATCCCATGCCTTGGGAAGCTGAGGTGAGTGGATTGCCTGAGCCCGTGGGTTCAAGACCCGCCTGGGCAACTTGGTGAGACCTCATCTCTACAGTAAATCAAAAAATGAGCCGGGTGTGGTAGCACACGCCTGTAGTTCCAGCTACTTGGAAGGCTGAGGCGGAAGGATCGCCTGAGCCTAGCACGTCAAGATTACGATGGCTGTGAGCGCGCCACTGCACTCCAGCCTGGGCGACAGAGTGAGACTCCACCTCAAAAAAAAAAAAAAAAAAAAATTGTGCAAGGAAATAAGAATTCACTCCCATGCTGTCTCTCCCTCCACTGTGGATTCAGTAGGATTTCTCAAACATCTATCAGCAACATAAAGCATTTTACTGAATTGTTCCATATATCATTTGCAACATATTTCTCATTATTTATAAATAATAATGTCATCTCTGTTTTTTTTTTTAAATTGTACTCAGTTAACCCAGTAATTGCTAAATCTGTCAAATAGGCACTCTGGTGCATTTTAATAAGTCATCTCCCCCCTTGCTTTTTGTATTTTTCTTAACTTCCAGAAGAAAAAAGAAGTTTAAACTACAAAACAAATTAAGTTCTACAGTTTGAACCTAATCACTCAGGGACTCTCACACACTTAAAGTGTGTGCTGTGAGATATGTGTTTTTGTCTGCTAATGGTAATTATCTCAAAAGACTACTAACAAATGTCAAGACTAATCACTCACTAAAATGTGAAGTATGCCACATTAGCCAGCCCCACTGCTTCTATGAGTAGGGGTAATCCAAAAAACTCTGGAATTTATTTGTTTTAAATAGCGTATTTATTCTTACTTGTTTAAACTTCAGTTACCTTCAAACTGCTTTCCATTTGATGCAACACACCTATTGAGACATTTTTTCCACTGCTCTAAATAGTTTTTGAGCTTGTCAATTTTGATGCCTTTTAGTGCTTCTGCTGTTTTTTGCTTCACCTCTTCCACACTGGTAAAACATTTCCCTTTAAGAACTTTTTTCATCAGGGAAACAAAAAAAAAAGTCGCTTGGGGTGAGATCGGGTGAATAGGGAGGGTAGGACATGGGGTCATGCCATTTTTGGTCAAAAACCGCTGAACACTCAGTGGGATGCAGCAGGTGTGATGTCATGGCAGTCACCTGTTTGCCAAAGCTTGGGATGCTTCTTCTGCAAATTGTGACACAGCCTTCCCAAAATTTTGAGATTAAAACTTTGGTTTACGGTTTGGTAAGGAAGAACAAATTCCAAGGGTACTACAAGATTTCCACCCTCCAAAAAATAATTTCTTTTGTGAGGGGTGTCCCCTTATATAAAACAGAAGTCATTCATTCATCCCCTCCCTCCTTCTTTCTCTCCCTCCCTCTGTGTCTCTCCCTAGCTCCCCAACAGTGAATATAGCACTGCTCCAATGAATTTACTGACTGTTGTGAGGTATTAACAAACTATTAGTCATCTTTCAGTTGCTGTTTTTTAATCTTTTAGTTTAGTATGGCTAATATAGGCCTTGGCTTGTTTTGACAGAAAGCACTGTCTGTAAGACCTCATGGTACTTATTTTGAAGAATGAATGAGTCAAATGGCATAAATTGAAGACAAGACTCTAGGTACTATAAGTTAAAATTCAGTCTGTAGATGAGAACCCTGTACTTTCTGCTCATTTTTGCTATGAACCTGAAACTACTCTTAAAAACTAAAGTCTACTTTAAAAAAATTTTTTTTTTTAGTCTATACATTTTTGCCTTTAGGAAAAAGTATACATTTTTGTATTATGAGTATTTTCTTTTTCATTATGAACTAGAGATATTTAAATGTATAATCTATTTTAATAAATAATATAGTACTATAATCTTAAACAGACTTCTAATCTAATACCTTTTTTCCTTAAATCCAGTGGAAGTTTGTTTCATGAAGCAATAAAGAATAATGATGCTTTTTCTAATTTCTTATGGGCTTCTAGAAATCTCTGTAGCCATTATAAAGGGATGTGCCAGGAAATAACCTTAATTACTTTTATAACGATTGAAATTATAGTAGTAAAAATTCTTTATTTGCAGTGCTTCTCTTCCAGGGCACATTTAGCATAATAACAGGTTGTGTGCCTCTTGTCGTATCTAGGCTCATAAATCTACTGTGTGGCAAGTCCGACACCTGCCGCAGAATAGAGAGCTCTTTCTGACAGCTGGAGGCGCCGGTGGCCTTCACCTCTGGAAGTAGTAAGTTCTACCAGTGCACACTGCTCCTTTTTATGTTATTTGTGGGTGTGAAGTAGGATTCGATTGAATTTCTTTGTCTTTTTTTCCTACTTTGACTTAGTTCATTTTTATATGATTTAACATTTTGTGGTGTTACATAGCTATTGTTTTCTAAGCATTTTTAAAAACTAACATACTTACTTTACACTTAATAAAATTAACTTTCTTTTGATACATTAAATATATTTATCACTTTAGTTATGTATTCTATATATTAGAGTAGCCTAGGAAGAGTTTTTTCATAGATTTGAAATGATGCTTTCTGCTAGATTTTATATAAGTTTGAAAAAGTTGGCCCAAGACCTTTGTCAGATATATCTTTTAGTCATTAGACGCTAGGGTTAGAAGATGGGAAAAGGATTGGAAATCTCAGTTTTACATTCTGATAACTCACCTGCTCAATTCAGATAACATCACTGTGATAGAACCAAACAGAACCCAAGGCTCCTGATTGGTCTCCAGAAAAAAACCTTGTCATTGAGTTTGTTTTCTGCATACCTAGGCAGGGTGAGTAATAAGTGATAGCTATTACTATGCACTGAACTCTGAATCCCAAGGACCCTAACATGATAGACACTACTAGATCACCTGCTTATTTCAAAGATCTGAAGAGTTAATGGTATTTCTGAATATGTTGTTAACTAAGCGATACATAATTGGAGGGCAAATAAAATCTTTCGTAAATATCACCGGGGGGGGGAAATAACTTATAAACCCATAAATGAAAGATATTTCAAAACAAAGTTTGATTAATAATGTAAGAAGAAAAACACCATCTTCCATATGTACGGGACTTTCACATTAGCAAAATTCTTCTCTATTAGCTCCTTTTAGAAGCTGGAAGGGGTTCTGAAAAACAGGGCTACAGTTGGAAAGTACTTGTTAAAGTACTACATTCAAGGATACATCTGACAAAAAATGGAGAGCGAATACCTTAGATCAGGCTGACAGGGTTTCTGTGAGTAAAATGCCAAGGGAAGGCTTTAGGAGTTCTGGGAGAATGCTGGGTACACGGATCATCTGGTAATTTCTCTTCTCCTAGCACCTTTGTCTATTGTCCATCTCTGATTCTTCCAACCCGATCTCCACCCTGCATTAGCCTCTGCCAGTCCCCTTAGTCAAGCTATGCAGTGGCATGCTACCATATTACTTGATGACCAAACTTTTTAGACCTGTTACTTAAAGAACAAGTTCCAGTTTTCTTTGTAATTCACATGTGGATTTTGCTTTATGTGATATGCAAACACATTTGCAGTTAGAATTTTTTTTACTAAAATGCACTTAGTTGCATCAGTAAAGTTGACTGTTTATGCAGTTTGAAGTTTATCTCAAAATGAACTTTAATCCTTACCATAGCAGATGTCTAGTCTAATCTTCAAATTAGTTAGGAGCTTTGCTGTCAAGTACCATATCAGCAAAGCAAATTGGTTTAAATAAAATGATATTTAGCTTATTTTCATTTACCAGTCTGCCTTGATAGTAATGCAATTAAATTGTAAATACTTGTTGAGCACTTAACCAAGAGTTCCTAGAGGAACTCATCTGTTTATTTAGAATGTGTTTTTTGAATGAATAAACTCCGTCATGCTATTTTTTTGGAGTATTTGAAATGCACACACATATGCTCTTAAAACTTTAAGAGATAATATGGAGAGTTTGAAAAAAGCTTTATCTTTTAAATACTAAATAACTGCAGCCTTTGCCAAGAGACAGATGAACAAAGTCAGTATTTAAACTGTTTATTCATCTGAATGTTTTATTCCTTTTAATCAAAATAATGTAAAGGGTCTATGAGGAAGAAAGAATAGTAGGTTATCTACCTTTAGCTCTTTCTTCCATTTCTTCTCTGCTTCTGATTTGCTTTCTGCCTCTTTTTTTTTTAAATCAGTATTTTTTATTATGATGTTGTGGGGTACAGTTAAGGGTTAGGTATACAAATCGTTTCATTCAGGCACCCTGTTGATAAGAGGTGTTTCCCTGTCCCCAGACAGATATTTGCTACCGTTAATCCCATCCCTGCCCCCCCATAGTTTCCCACTACTGTCAGTCATTTTCTTATAGTATTAGGTTGGATGTTCAAGGTCCATTATATGAGTGAGAACATGTGATACTTAGATCTTTGTTTCTGTGCTTTGTGCCTCTTAAGTGCTTGGCCTTTATTAGCATTTCTGAAATAAAGGCAGTGTCATAATTGATACCTAAGATTCTTCAAAAGGCCTTCTGAAGAGGAATACCTCTATATTTCATTAAAAATACTTTTTCATAGGGAAGGGATATTTCTTTTTTCCTCTCTCTAAAATCTAAACCAAGTTGTGTTTATGAGTTGTTAACCTTCAGCTCTTCTTACTTTATAAATACATTTTCAGCTGAAAACAAAAATCAAATGTTCTCAGTAACACTTTTTTCTATTTTGAAGCAATTATGTTTAGAATTAGAGATTTTAGAACCTCTACCCAGTGGCGCCTTCCTATAGAAATGGTATACAAAATGTCCTTAGGCTTGGTGCTAGATAATAGAGCTCTAGGGTTGGAAACCAATGTCATTTCTCCATTCTACAAAGGTTTAGATGAGGTACTGCAATTATTACTTACAGCTGTTGCCTTTGCATATTCTTTTTGCTTGTGGTGTATTACAATTCAAATCTAGAGAAAAATTACAATAGAAGATTATCAAGAGTACCAAGTAAATATATTAAAGAATGCTAGATCTACCTTGAACTTTCTTGTTAAAAGAGAAAATATAGATACACACTGAACTGAACTGATGTTTAGAAGTTTTTAATAGAACTAACCTTTTTTTATGAGAAGTTTTAGGGGTGGAATTGAGGTTAAAACCTTATCTCTTTATTTGTATACACTCAACATTAGAAAGATTAAGTATTAGTATCAGTAATCAACTAAGAAATAAAAATAGAGTCACTAAAGTATATGCATAGAAAGTAAATGATGAATGCTGATTTATGTCTTCTTACCATTTTGATCTTTTTTTCAGCGAATACCCTATTCAGCGGTCAAAGAAAGATTCCGAAGGAGTAGAGATGGGAGTTGCAGGTTCCGTCAGCCTTCTGCAGAATGTTACGTTGTCTACCCAGCCCATCTCTAGTTTGGACTGGAGTCCAGATAAAAGGGGTCTCTGCATCTGTAGTTCATTTGACCAAATGGTGAGAGTACTGATTGTGACAAAACTTCATAAAATTTGATCTGAAGGCTTTAGACCTGAAATCTTCCAGAGAAACATTCATCAATCTTAAGTTATGTTCTGGAATTCTCTGACCCTCTATGAACAAAGTTGGATTTGGCTGATGAAAAAAGGACCCCAGCACAAACCTCCAGACTGGCCTCTGGCTTCTCTCTGGGTATGTTTACTGACCTGACTGGACGCCAGCTCATTGCTGTGCATGGAACACCACTGTCTCCAGGGCCGGTTCTTTTCCTCTCCCTTCCATTTCTAATACAATGCCAATTGTTGTCTATATTTAAACATACTTTAACTTTGCTCTGCATCCCTGAAGCTCCATACTTTTTCTTTATACTTGTGTGTTGTAGTTTAGTGTTTATAATGTTGTGGTGGGAATCATCTTGTCTAGTCTAAAATTGTTTGCCTTGGAAAAATTACATTTTTTTGAGAGATTTCAGTGTCAGTAAGTTTCTCTTTCTAATACAGGATATTATTTTATAAAATACCAAAATGGCACTATTATACTAGATTTAGGTAACTGTTTTCAGAATTTAACTCATAAAATGAAATACTATGGTTTACAAAGATCTTTTATTTTAAGTAAAAAAGGAGTAATAAACTAATAAAAAGGAATTGAATTGGTGAGACTTTTGGTTATTGACTGGGTAAGTATTGGTGAGATGTACAAGGTTGTAAGGGTTTTGTAGTCTTATTTTTTGGTCAAACCTTATTAATATATTTTATGAATAAACTTTTTTGAAATCTCTGGAGGCTTTGATTTTGTGAACTTCAATAGTAATAAAGTCAACACTGTCACTTCATTTTCCTTTTTGAATGCTTAGTAAGTGCCTCTTCACTTTTTAAAAAAATGTTTACTATATCTTTAGCTAAACCTTTAGAAGTAGACTTTAATCACACTTTTATCAAGCCTACTGTCCCCTCCACCTCCATTCAAGAGAACAGAGCCCCCTAAAACATTCATAATACATAAAATGTATGTGATTTTTTAAGGGTTTATAGAGAGTCCATTTTTGGAATATTAAGTTCAGGAAATTAACTGTTTTTTAGTTTTCAATTGTTTTATAGAACAATGCTGTGGACATAATTATAAAAGTAAAAATTAAATTGAACTTTAAAAAAACCTATCCCTGCTGGGTTTTTATTTTCAATTTTCAAAGGAAAAATATGAAACTCTCCCTTAAAACACTTGTGTGTGGTAATATAATTAGATTCAATAACAGTAAATACATGTGTTTCATTAAATCTAAGATGCCATTGATTGTAAGATTATCTTATACCATTGATGTTATGCTGATAGGATGTTATGCTGCCAATGAAATGCTTTTTTAGCACTTAATATTTGCTTGTCATTAATTGAATGTTTTTAATTTTATTTAGACATAGTTGTTTTCCATTACATATCACTGCTGTGTATTGTTAAAAAGAAAAATATATATTTATAAAATAAATTTGGTATGATATTCCTCTGATTTTTTCATATTCAAGTCTGGTCTTTCTAAATCACTTTTTTGAATTCAGAATCATCTGTCCCACCCATCTACATACATTCATGTTTTTCTCTGCAATATTGTCCTTTCTCCATAAAAGTGCTGGTGAGGCAGCATTTCTTTAAAATGTGCTCCACTGTTGTCTTCAGAATTTTTTTTCAATTAACTGACATTTATTCTACTACAGGTTTTGGGGTTACATGCTGGCAGTGACAATTGTCATGATCACTGCCTGGCTGACCACGATTATTTCAGTTGTCTATATAACAAACCACTGCAGACCTTCATATCTTATAACACTAATGATCATTTACCTTGCTTCCCTGCTGAGCCTTGCTGCAGTCTGGGCAAGGCTCAGCAGGGAAGGTTCATCTGTGCTCCACAGTGTCAGGCAGGCAGTTGTGCTTAGGGCTGGTACAACTTAGGGTTGCTTCCAAGATGGCACATGTCTTGCAGGCTGGTGCTGGCTGTCAGCTGGGACCTCAGCCAGACCTGAGAACCAGGGGCCTCACCACCTGGCATGGACTTCCTCAGAGTATGGTGTCTGGGTTCCCAGGGTGAGCATCCCAAGAGAAGGCCAAGCAAAAGCTATCTTGCTTCTTAATGGCCTAGCTTCATAATTAGCATCACTTTGCTACTCTCTATTAGTTGAGGCAGTGGCAAAGTCCCCCCACCAAGTTCAAGGGAGAGGAGACACAAATTTCACTTTTTGATGGGGGTTTGGCTAGATTATGGAAGAGCATGTGAACACTTGAGATACTGTGGCTATTTTTGGAAAAGACAATCCAGGACAGTGATTATATAATGCATCCCAATTTCAAAGGTGCATAAATGGACTGGGGGTGCGCTCATTAGAACTGATGAAATAGGTTACTTGGAATGCAGATACTCCTATTCCACTCATCTACGTATGCCCCTCCCTGGCCCTAATCTATTACAGACATGATTAATCGTTTTTCCTGAGCCCCATGAACTTTATCACACTCTACTAAGAGCCACTACTGTTGGCAGGTGAGCTAAAACTTACTTCTGTCCTGAAGCTAGAGAGTGATGCCCTATGGAGGCCAGCTAGCCACCTGGACCAGGAGTCAAGGAACACCTCCCTCCCAAGTTCATAGCTTGTGTTTCAATATGTCAGAAAATGATGAGACTCTAGCACTAGACCATGTAAACCAAATTGATACAAAGACCAAAATGACATTTCATTCATAAGTAATGCAGGATGTGCCCTTTAAGTACCAAAATTGGTAGGTTTGCCACCTGAGCACCTTCTTCATGTCAATTTATCTGAGGTGCTGTATTGTTCTGAAGGCTTCCTGTGAGTGTGGAACTAGAGACAGTTGCTGACGGTATTTAAAAGTAATTAGGCCTTAGTGAAGCCTAAAAAAAAAACAAACCATCAGAACAGTGAGACTGTAGGCTAACTGCACACCTTTTACTGCAAGTTTGTTTTCATTCTTTTTTAGCATAATGTGACACTTTGCTAAGTATGGTGGTAAATTATAGAGTGTTTTGGTAAGGGACCTCTGGAATAATTCTCACTGAGGGGCCTAGGACCTTCCAGGCAAATACTACTTGTAAATAGTTTGTTTTTCTTTGGCCATCAGACTGTCCTCTAAAGTAGATGAAGCATGTAGGCTTGGGGTAGAAAGCTGGTTTGTGCAACCTCAAAATATAGCAATTTGCAATCAGGTGCTATGGCAGCTAGTGGGCAATTGTCTTGTAGCTATGTTTCTTAAAAGACTGGCTAGTTATTTTTACTCAGGAAGCCCCCATCTCTAAATGTCTCTGTTGTGGAGCCCCACCTCCCTACTCTTGGTGGGACTAGATTGCCAGGCCCCTATTTGCCTAGAGCTCTCTCTCTTGAAGCTGGGTCATACCCAGCAGTCCCAAATGCCGTTCTCCTGAGAGATCTGGGAGCACTGGGCCCATGCTGCACTCAAACCTCTTGAGACCTGCTGACAGAAACCCTGTTTCTTGTCCAGCCAACTGAGGACCTGGGCTGCTTGGACAATGTCCTCTACCCCTACTTCACCCTACACCCCTGCCTGCTGCCTGGGGGGGTGAGAAATTCTCTGTCCATCCATTTTGCCTATTGGTCTAGGATAAACAACTGGCAGTATGAAAACTCTGCATCTGTGTCACTGTGTAGGGTTTTAGAGGGAAAAAGACCGGCTTTGTCTTCCACCCTAGAACCAGAAGAATAGTTATTAATCAGAACAACATAGAGGGAGCAGATGCAAGTTGTCCTCACAATGCTATGACCTTTATTGCATTTGTCCACGGGTTTTGGATATGTTACATCAAACATCAAGCTTGAGTGGAGGACTAGGATTTTGACTTCGTGTTTTTTTTTTGAGTTGGAGTCTCACTCTGTCGCCCAGACTGGAGTGCAGTGGCCGCTCCCGGCCACCGCAGCCTCGACCTGCTGGGTTCCAGCGATCCTTCCGCCTCATCCTTCCAAGTAGCTGGAATTGCAGGCATGCGCTACCACACCCGCCTGATTTTTTGATTTATGGTAGAGATGAGGTCTCGCTGCCCAGGCGGGTCTCGAACCCGTGGGCTCAGGCAATCCACTCACCTCAGCCTCCCAAAGGCGCGGGATTACAGGCTGAGCCACCAAGCCCGGCAACTTCGTGTTTTTAACTTAAGTTATAAAAGGAGATTTGGGATAAACACAACCTCTGCTTTTAGGGAAAACAAAGGTATCAGACTCAGCTATGGCTGTGACCAAATCGAGCTGCATTTGTACAATAGTGGTGAGCAATTTTTGTGAACAATTCCTTAACAATTGAACTTTGTTTATGGTGTCCCAATCCAACTCTCTTCGTAAGCCAACTTTAAACCAGAATCACTCAGCAGTGCCCTTTATTCATCATCTAATAAATATTGATTGGTGATAAAAATGAAATAATGACAAAATGAGTAATTAGGAAAAAAAGAGTCCATCTTACCTTTGGCCTGTTTTCTCACTCTCTTAATCGTTATTAATTAGAATTAGGTTCAACTGCAGATAACTGAAAACCCAAAATATAGATTTCTTTTTTTTTTAAATTTCTCTCTCTTGTCCGAATTCTGGTAGGCAACCCTGTCTGCCACAGTGGTTCCACAATGACCAGGGACCTAACTCCTTCTCTCTCCACCATTCTCATGATGTATCTTCCAACCCATCATCCAGTGTGGCTGCTCCAGGTCTAACCACCACATTCACATGCCAACCATCAGGAAAATAGGAAAAGTAAGAAAAAGAACACTTTGCCACTTTAAGAAACACTTTTGCTTTTATTCACTGGTCATGTGGTCACCCCTAGCATAGTGAGACTGAGAAAGGTAAACTTTATTCTGTGCAATGACACACTCAGCTAACGTCCAGGAGTTCTGGTACTGAAGAATACAGGGAAATGGATTTTAGGAGACATTAAATGGAGTCTGCCACCGTGTGACAGGACAGCCAAGCATAAAGGCTTCCTGGTCTGGATCTCCCATTAGGCAAAAACTAGGACGTGATCCATTCACTCTTCCGTAGGCCAGAGCTGGGTCTTGGCACCCAGTGTTCTCTTTTGGCAATTGTATCTTCTCCATCAACTGGTGTTACCCAGGCACAGTGGAATTCCTTGCTTTCCTTTATGTAAATCAATGGAAGCCCAGCCTAGTACAAAAATATGAAAATTCCTCCTTAAAACTGAGAATGACATTCTATCCTAAATTTCTTGAGAATTTATTTTTGCTTACTAATAATTTCTTTCGAATCCTAAATAAGTACTTTTTCCATTCAGGGTAGTACAAGGACAACATACAGTAAAACACAAATGCAATTTACCTCATGTATTTCCATAAACTCAAAAAAAGAACTTGAAGGGAGAACGGTATATTTATGATCCAGCGTGTATTGGCACCTGACTAAAACCACTTTCTTTTTTGTTTGTTTGTTTGTTTTTTGTTTTTTTGAGTTGGAGTCTCACTCGGTCGCCCAGACTGGAGTGCAGAGGCCGCTCCCGGCCACCGCAGCCTCGACCTGCTGGGCTCCGGCGATCCTTCCGCCTCAGCCTTCTGAGTAGCCGGAATGACAGGCATGCGCCCCCACACCCGGCTGATTTTTTGATTTATTGTCGAGATGAGGTCTCGCTGCCCAGGCGGGTCTCGAACCCGTGGGCTCAGGCCATCCACTCCCCTCAGCCTCCCAAAGGCGCGGGATGACAGGCTGAGCCACCGAGCCCGGCTTAAAACCACTTTCAATGGTGATTTATGTGGATATATTTTGTATTTGTACAAGAAAAATATTTTTCTGTGAATGTCAAAGGACTGTCCGGTACACAAAATCATGGCATCCTTTTTCTGCATGAGAACAACCAAAAAGTTACTGGCAAATTCTTAAGGTTTATGAGAAATGAAATCCAGTTATGCTGAGGCATTATCAAGTTTGCCTCTTCACCACTCTAAGAGACTTGCCCTCTCCCCAGGGAGGGAGGCACTATGCCAGGGCTGCCCAACCCGAACCCCAGGCCTTTGTTGTAACTAAAGCTCTGGTGGTACGCTGTCCCCTTGTGGGAGATGTGGGCATTGCAGTCCTTTCGTCAGAAGAAAATGAATTTTGCCTTTCAGACGCAGCTGGAAAAATCTAGTTTAATTTCCAGGAGGCACACAAGTAAAATTATACTTTGGGAGAGACATTATCTTATAGAAATGTCTTCCAAAAATATGAGTCTGTTTATAAAAAAAACCATTTTGCATATGACAACACTGAATAGCATGACTGTTGTTTTTATACGTGGGTTTATTAGCCAAATGTTGTATTGCTACCTTTACTACAGATTCAATCTTATTTTTAGCACAATGACAGCCAACATCCAAGAGAAAAGATTTTGCTTTATATAAAATGAGGAATTATTTTGTAAAGTAAATAGTATATTCCTCTACCTCCCACCACCAGTCTATT